CAAGCAACAGAAAGTGTTAATTAAGAAGCAGGATTCAACGAATTCATCAATTTTCGGTAGAACTCTTCTTCAGCCGAAAACTCCACATACAGGGAGTGATATACTACAATTAAGATAAAATGCACTATACAGTTCAATTACATCACTTAACTCAAATAAACAATCAGTTCGTTATCGATGAGTGTAAGAACTTGAATATAGATCAAGAATTGTGAATTAAATAATACTGATAATAATAATAGTAGTACTAGTAATAGTAACGGTAATAATAACAATAATAAGTTAGTAAGTAAAACATATTACCATGATAGATTCACAGGGATGACCATTTCCTTTTGTACACAGAGACCTGGTGTATAAACTCCGATTGCACAAGCTCCCTCGGCAATTGCAAGCATCTTCCTGTTTGTTTGTCTGCTCTCTGACAACAGTGAATGACTTGACTGGCAGTGTCAATATCATGTCCGTAGTTTACAAGATGCTTTGTTATTGAACTTTTAGGCATTTTGACTTCAGGTGTTTTCAACCACCTTGGTAAATGCTGGCTGCATCATGCGAGTAGACAGTCACCTTTCTGTACGATCTATGTACTTGCTTCCACAAACACGCTGAAATTGATATACGCAGTAATTTGAAGTGTCGAGGATTGTCGACTGGTCGTTCCTAAATTGTTGAAACACTCACTCGGTGGTGTTAAGGAAGACGAGTTTTCCAGCGTAATAAGTTCTCTTAATAGCTTTATCGAGTCTTCGTGTACACATCATCTCCTTTAAACAGCAAATTGATATAGACAGATTTTTTTGGAACTGTTTGGATAGTTTTACTGGGGCTTATTTCTTTATAGTATTTATTGATGAACTTCTCATGATATCCATTCTTAGATAAAATATCCTTCAGACTCTTTATTTTGATGTTCATTTGTACTGTGAGAACAAATTTTTTGTGCTCTGTTGAAATAGTGTTCTGACTAAGTTCTTTTTATACAGAATTGGAACAAAGCTTTGGAAATGCATGTACTGTCCCGACAATAAAGACTTTCAAAATATAGATCTTTCCATTGTGCCATCATTCCTTTTCACATCATTTTCCTTGTGTTCTATTTCTTGTGAAGTTAAGATTCGGATAGTATGAGTAGAATGTTGTTGCTTGTTTTAAATTCGTGTCGGGAAATAAATGTTTCCGAATACCTGTAACACTCATCTACAATCATTATGCATTATAAGTATTTTTGTTACTTTCACATGTTAATTGAGTTATCAGATGTATTCCAGATGCTATAAATAGTATAGCTAATTAGTTTGTATGTAATAATGTTTTAGTTTTAATTTCCTCTTGTCAACTGGGTCTTGTGGACACGATGCTTTAATCCTCTTATCATAAGAAGCTAAGCCACATATTTAAATTGAAGCTTATATAAAATTTTGAATTCCATATTTAAAAGATTTTCCTTTCAACCTGTATTGTTAATGGGCAGTACTCTAGTGTTTGTTTAGTTAAGGAATCGCTTAAGAAGTTCGTACTTTTAATCCTCTAGGCGAGGAATGCACAGCTGTGCGTCGGTGGCACGGTGGTACAACGCTCGCCAACCACGCCTCACGTGGTTCAGGTTTCGATCCCCGGCTGATGCACTCCTTAACCTCGCTAAGCCAATAATAAGACTGGTAAAGAGGGAAGGTTGGTCATGAGGCTGACTAGCAAACCCATCCTGTTAAAATAAAAATACCACTGCTACTGAAACTTCAAGCTGGCTCTAGCTTGAAGCCCTATGTTCCACTGGGAACGTAAAGGAATAAATAAAAAATTGAAGAAATCGTAGTGTTAAAGAAAGGGGTGATTAGATGAATACACTGTGGTGGTGATACTTCGTTTGTGTCCTCAAACCTATTTAAAAGTAGTAGCGTAGATCAGGTTTTTTGATTTTCAGAGAAGATGAGAGAAAATGGTGTATTATCAAAGGGATAGACAGGTAGACAGACAATACAGTATTGTTATAATTGCGATAAATGCTAGACTTTGTTGTCATATTACCAGAACTTACCTCCTTTATCATTATCGGGATTGCCTCTGTTAGTTTGTGTAGCGACAGTCTATTCCTTTCGGTTTATATGCTTTTTCAGCTGTGCATGCATGTGAAAATTCATAAATGGCTAGCTTTTTAATTAAATTTGTCTATCGTTGGATCTTTGTGCGTTGCCAGTTCGATAGTAGAATGCTCGCCAGTCACACAGGAGGTCCAGGTCTGAATCCAGGCAATTTCATCCCTAAATGTCACTCAGCTGACAGAAGTTGGCCCAGAAAAGGGGGTAGGTTTGAAGTGAAGTCTCTACCTCAACTTAATAGACTTTAAGAAGGCCTTCGATAGCGTTGACCGCGAAGTAATTTGGAAACTACTCGAGTACTACGGCGTACCCCAAATATTCATCAACCTTATTCAACAGCTGTACGACAACGGTACATGTCAAGTGATCCACAACGGAAAACTCAGTGAGGCGTTTGGAGTAAACACAGGAGTCAGATAAGGGTGCTTATGATCACCAATGATATTCCCAATTGTGGTGGATTGGATTTAGCGGATGATTTATGTCTGATGTCACACAAAGTCGAAGAATTACAAGCGAAAACCGACAAACTGGTCGAAGAAGCAGCCAGAGAAGACAGGACTCCAGGTGAACATAGACAAGACGGAGATTATGAAAATAACCAACCAACAACAACAGCATCAGCAACATCCACTGCCAATCACCATCAACTGGAGGGATTTGAAAGAGGTTACTTCTTTCACTTATCTAGGGAGCATTGTCTCAACTACAGGACGAACAGACGAGGATGTCAAATCCAGAATCGTGAAGGCGAGAAACACATTCATCAACCTGAAACCAATCTGGAAATCTTCGTCACTCCTCAGCATCAACAACAAAATTCGGATTTTCAATACAAACGTCAAGTCAGTCAGTTCTTCTATACGGATGGATCAGAAACTTGGCGGTGGGTCACAAAGAATATTTCCAACAGCCTGTTGCAGACCTTTATCAACAGCTGTCTTCGCTCTATACTGAAGATCAGATGGCCGGAAAGAATCACCAACAAGAAACTATGGGAAGAAATAAAACAAGAACCAATCGCTCAACAAATATGCAGGAGAAAGTGGAGATGGATTGGACACTCGCTGAGGAGGCCGTTAAGTGACATCACGCGTCAGGCCAGTGCTCGAGTGGAACCCGAAAGGGGAGTGGGACGTCCAAGAGTGACATGGAGGAGATCGTGTGAAGAGGAGTTGAAACAGTATGGACTAACATGGATGCAGGTGAAAAGTACAGCATAAGACAAAAGCAAGTGGAGGCGTGCAGTTGAAGCCCTATGTTCCACTAGGAACCCAAGGGAACAATAATAATAATTGAAGTGAAGCCAGCAACAACCCATCTCGGTAAAAACAAAAACAACTGCATGACTGCTACCAGACCGTCGAAAGCATAAGCCGCTTACTCGTAATGTAAAGAATGAAGAAAATATCTACAAAATATTACATTGCAAATGATACTGCCAGTATTTAGTCTAGACAACAATTTCTCTGCCTAATATGAACTGTCATGCTTAAAATATCGTTCGTTTCATAATTTCCTCAAAAGTATTGACTAATAATGTTCTGACTTTTACTCCCCCCTCCACCACCATACTTTCATACTTCCTTCAACCTCACCATTTGTTCATTCGATTTAGCTGATGTTTCACCTGATTTATTGTCTAATGTAAACAGACTTAGATTGTGCTACACACATCTGTAAAAGGATCAAATGCTGATAATCTCTACTGCATAAATCGCAACTATATATACTTGATCACTTCAAATGAATGTTTTTGCTCTCTCTCTCTCTATTGTTTTTATAGGTTCGATATAAAAGTACCAAATTTTGAACCAACAGACAGAGGTCATAAACCTGAAGATAAGGCAAAAATTGATGCGAAATTAGAACACTTAAAGTCTACACATCCTGTAGCGTGTAATACTAAAATATCTGGGTAAGTTGAATAAAATTGATTGAACTTATTTATTTTTGTTTACCAATGTTTGCATGATTTCAAAAGATACGCCTTATGCTTATTATGTTATAAATTATTATTATTATTCCTTTGTGTTGCGATTGGAACATATGGGGGGCTTCAACAGGGCATCTCCAATTTATCCTGTCCTCGGAAGTCCTCTTTCGCTGGCCCCCTCCTTATGCGATCTTCTGTATGTCACCCTCAGACCCACGCCTAACTCGGCGTTTCCCATCCCGGTTCCATTCGAGGGTATACCTGACACGCTATGCCACTCAAAGGTCTTCTCAGAGCCAGCTTTATACCATCTAATACTAATAAGGAGTATACGTTTATATTCTTTGTACTACCCTATATTCATAACTGGTCATTTTCATAGGACTGCATCCCATTCAATATATGAATACGTTCACAATCTTTTAAATCTTATTCATTCAAACCGTTCTGTTTTCTTACTCTGTACACCCGCACGGCCTGTTTATTTCTGATCGTGGATTTGTTTTCGACACATCATTGCTGTTATTCTTCTTCTTGACGTACTGTTACAATGCAATGCTTTTGATAGCATGTCATCCAGAAACTTTGAAATTTGATTACCGTACTTCAGAAAAATTCTGTGCTCTGCACTTCACGTGTAATTCAAACATTACATATTAGTTTGTATATTAGATGTATCATACAGTGAGGAAAAAGTATTATTTACTGGGTGACACAGTTTCGAACAAAATTTATTGTTCATAATCATATCAATTGTAATCACACGACTTTGACACTTGAGTTTTATAGTTTTCTTTCTTCTCTCCTATTTGCCGTCGTTGGGGTAGTAGAATTTTCCACATATCCGACTGGACAGGTGATGAATCATTCCTATTACACGTATTTGCAGTTGATTCGATAAGCAAAGCTTCTGTTATTAATCTCTCCAAATAAGATAAGAAATCTAGAGAATAGTTGAACTACAGCACTACATGCAGTTACACACAATCCTACAATAGGATGGGATAGGATGACAGTTTTAAAATCTAATGTCACAGGGTGGAGGAAGAGATTGACAACAGAAGCTTTGTTTATCGAATCAACTGCAAATACGCGTAATAGGAATGATTCATCACCTGTCCAGTCGGATATGTGGAAAATTCTACTACCCCAACGACGGTAAATAGGAGAGAAGAAAGAAAACTATAAAACTCAAGTGTCAAAGTCGTGTGATTACAATTGATATGATTATGAACAATAAATTTTGTTCGAAACTGTGTCATCCAGTAAATAATACTGTTTCTTCACTGTATGATACATCTAATAAACAAACTAATATGGAATTACTTACTACCACAGTGCCCAAGGTTTACACATATATTAGTAATCCAAACATTTTGACTTATTATGTGGCGAAGTAATTTGAAAACTACTTCAACACACCATGGAATGCTGCAGTGCCCCAAATCTTTATCAGCCTCATTTAACAGCTATGCAATAATACTATATGTCGTGGGATCCACAATGGAAAACTCAGTGAAGCCTTTGAAATGAAGACAGGAGTAAGATAAGGCTACCGACTAATATCACCGATAATGATATTCCTAATTGTGGTGGACTGGATTATGCGGAAGACTGTGGGGAGCGAGGAGACAGGAATACGTCGAACCAACAAGAAAACTTTGTAGGATCTGAACTTCACGGACGATTGTTGTCTTATGTCACATAAATTCGAAGACTTACAAGCGAAAACCAACAGCTGTTTCATCCTAGTTTGGGAATCATTGGCAGTACGCACCCACTGCCAGGGTTCGAACCCAGGACATTCCGGTTACAAGTCAAGCTCACATATCATCCAGTCAAGTGTGAGGATGGATGTCCCACCGATGACATTAGTTGGTGACAATCGCGCTAAAATCACGAATCGGTAGAAGTTAGAACTCATGGACTGGCTATTGAATCGGGTCCAGGTGGCTGAATGGTATACGAGCTCGCCTTGTAACCGGAAGGTCCTGGGTTCGAACCCCAATGTGCTGGGCGCGTACTGACGATGATTCCCAACCTACGATAAAACAGCTGGGTGTCCAGTACTCTGGTACTAGCTTTCAATGGTTGTCTAACTGATATCAATCCGTGATCGACTCATCAAAACAAATCTAATCCTTACAAGGCAACTATTGAAAACCAACAGGTTGGCAGAAGAAGTAACCAGTGAAGACAGGATTTCAAGTGAACAAAGCAAAGACGGAGGTGATGAAAGTCAAGGCAAACCTTCGTCACTCTGAAGTCAGTTTGGAAATCTTCTACACTCAGCATAAAGGATGAAATTCGAATTTTCAGCACCAGTGTTAAGTCAGTTGTTCTATATGAGTCAGAAACTTGCCTCGCTCGTCACAAAAAGCATTTCCAACAGGCTACTGGAGACGTTTATCATCAGCTGCCTTCGCTGGCTCCATACTGAAGATCAGATGACTGACCGGCCAGAAAGAATTAGCAACAAGAAACTTTGTCAGTGAACGAACCAATCAAGAACCTATTGCTCAACAAATGTGGCGAAAAAATTGGAGATGGATCGGAAACACGTTCAGGAGACTGCTGAGTGACATCGCGCGCCAGGTCCTCAAGTAGAAGCGGATTTAGAAACGACGAGTTGGGTGTGTGTTCGACATTGACATGGAGAAGGTCGTGTGATGAGAAGATGAGAGGCTATGGGCGATCAGGGGGCTAGCCAAAGAGGACTTCAGAGAACCCAGCAAAATGGAGGTGTGCTGTTGAAGCCCTTCGTTCCACTCGGAACCCAAGAGAATGATGATAATAATATCGAAAGTACAATTATTACTTATCTTTCCGGATTTCTCAGAAGAATATATACATTCTTCTATTAATTAGTAAAGATCGTGTTGAATCACTTTAACTCAGTGAAAGTCAACATATTTATTAGTGTTATCCTCTGAAATCCTTCAGCTAAATGACTTTTATCACTGATTTCTATTAGCATAACATTTAATCACCGATATTTTTGAAGAGACGATTCATTGTTAACTCGAGCACTCAACTTTTTAGTCAACGAGTTTTAGAATCAAATCCCACTCATGCTACTTTAGCCCTAACAGCAACCGGGTAGTATCACCAGTAATGCGTCTCATGTATTCATGAAATGTATAACAGGTTATTCCCCCTATTAAAAAAAATTACATCTAGTGTACTGTAGACACAATACATCTCAAAAATGTTAGTTAATATGGTTAATTGTTTACTGATTGCCAACAGTGGCATACAATACTCAGATTTCATCCCATTCAAGACTCGAAAAGTTAATAATCATAGAAATATTGAGGCATTTATTTCAACGAGTTCATATTCCAAAGTCGCGTCGGTAGTTCCATGGTAGAATGCTCAGCAGCCATGTGAGCGTTTCGGGTTCGATTCCCGACATATGCACGCTTAAACCTTGCCTAGTTCTACCAGTTGATAGTAAACTAGGAAAACAGGAAAAGTTGGGCATCAGGATACTAATAAAATCACTTTTACTAAAACACCAGAGCTTGAAGTCCTGTTGTAATGAAAGAAGACAAGGGCCATGCAACAGATATTTATAGATTTTTATGTACATTATTGTCAGCGGAGAAGCAACGTCTTCTGATTGGTTGTTTTCTTACTGAAGGTTATTCTTAACTGCTTGTGATCGTTTCTCAGAAAGTTAAGCCATATATCTGCGAATCGTATTTGCACACGTTAAGTCTGCTGTGATTGGTTGGTGAGTTCCTCAAGGTTAAGCTTTGTTATTGTTTCTCTCATGACCCCAATTCGGGACGTAAACACTGACGTACATTGTGGCCTACAATTTTGGCTTGCAAGCAGCTCTCACCACACTATTTCCCCCATTCTGCAAGAGAATGCCAAAATGATGCCGAACGATCCTGTCTGTCTGTCTGTTTTCGACATAGAACTTTGCACATATGTGCAGCAGTTCAAGTCGCCACACTCCCTCGATGTAGCACACAAAGCAAGAGAAGAAAGTAGAAGTGCATAATATAGACAGTAAACAGAGGTGTGAGACAAAGGAATAGTAATAACGAAGAATAATATAGTTTCATTGGAAATCATAAGTCACAAGGAGTGGATGCATCTGCGCCATTGAGAACGATCACTTTGAGTCATATCACCGATTGTTTCCCGAGGAAGTCTACACCTTCCTACGTGGCTTAGACTAACTGTTGTGGATTTCATTGACTGGTGCCATGTTTTGGTTTGACCGCCGCTAGCTCTTTTCCAGCCTGACCCTATATCAGCTAACATTGTCCGTCGAGGAAGGCGATGGCTGGGCATGCATGCGTAGCAACACATATCCTAACCATCTCAGTCGATGTAATTTCACAGCTTCGTCGATTGATTTCCCTTCCTTACCTGGCACTCGACGCCTAACCTCAATATTGCTCACCTTATTATACCAATTCACACGGGAGATAGAGCGCAGGCACCTATGATCAAAGACAACTAGTCTTTTCATGTCTTCCACTCTCAATGGCCAGGTCTCACAGCCATAGAGGAGGAAGGAGCGAACTGTTGAGCAGTACATACACCTTTTGGTCGACAGCCAGCCGGATATCACGTCTACACTAGAGACGGTGTAAACTGGCATATACGAAACTAGCCTTCTGTATCCGTGCTGAGATTTCGTCAGCGATCAACGCGTTGGCGCTGGCTGATGCAACTTCCCAAATAAGTGAAGCGGTCAAAGTGCTCTACCACTTCACTCCCTATTTCTAAACTAGGAGTCAGTGTAGTCCAGTCCTGTAACAACATCCTGTAACGATCCTGTCCAGACCTATCAATCGGACATTATAAGTATGTATAAATTTAGTCGATACCATGATCTGACATTCTTACCTAAAACGTTGTATTTTAGTGGAATGCGAATCATCTATCTTTTGAGATAAGGAAAATCCATTAGGAATTCTCCATTAATTAGTCTTCACTAAGGTTTCTGTTTATGTGGGCAATTATGATTAGTGTTAGTCTTTGTGTTTGTATGTGTGTGTGTGTTAGTTATCTATGTTGATCTGATGTTTCTAATATTAATAGAAATAATCATCATTTCTGTTAATTCTCCCTCTTTTCTTTTCCAGTACTTGTCTAGTTTATGATAGCAGAATGGAAAATCATAAAAATGAAGAAGATCGGTAAGTGCTGTCCCATCGGCATTCTACGCTCTTTCTATGTAATACAATAATTCCCATTTGTACATATTGATTAATTTGAATCGAAAGTAATTAGGCTAGGCTAACAGTATGGTATGGTTTATCCTATCAGTCCTGGTAGACTTTTACTGTCTGTCTGTCTGGATTCAACATAGAACACGGCACCAAAGTGCACCAGTTCCAGTTGCCACTTTCCAAAAAGCACACAAAGGTAGACAAGAAAATGAGTGAAGAGAATCAATAGAGTTTTGACAAGTATAAGAGTGAAACAGAATGAGTAATGGTAGAAAGGAATATGAAAGATTACAGAGACTGAATACATCTGCGTAAGCCATTGACAACGATTTTGAGCCATGTCACCTATTGTCTCCAGCCATTGATTCTTAGAGTTCCCAGGGCGGGCCCCAACCCGGAAGTCTGCATCTCCCTACCTGACTCAGTTTAACTGTCAAAGATTTCATGGATTGATGAGGCCATGTTTTTGTTTGGCCACCACTTACTCTTTTCCAACCTGCACCTATATCAGCTAGTAATGCCCAGTCGGGGGAGGCGATGGCTAGGCATGCGCAGCACGTGACCTAGCCATCTCAGTCTATGTAACTTTATAGCCTCGTCGATTGATTTTCCCTCTTTGCCCAACACTCTACGCCTAACGTCAACATTACTTACCTTATTATACCACCTAACGTGAGAAAGAGATCGTAAACATCTGTGGTCAAAAACAGACAATCTTTTCATGTCTTCCGCTCTCAATGGCCACGTTTCACAGCCATAGAGAAGGACGGAGCGAACTGCTGAGCAGTACACACGTCCCTTGGTTGATAGCCGGATGTCACGCCTACGCCAGAGACGGTGTAAGTTAGCGAAAGCAGCCCGAGCTTTTTGGATCCGTGCTGAGATTTCGTCACCAATCAATCCGTTGGTGCTGATACAACTTCCCAAATAGGTGAAGTGGTCAACATGTTCTATCACTTCACTCCCTATCACTAAGCTAGGAGTTGACGTAGTCCAGTCCTGTAGCAGCATCTTACATTTTACAGGGTAGACTTTTACACCGGTTTTTAGAAAAGAGTCAAATATTTGCCCTTTTTGTACCTACTGTTAATATATTTGATTGGTTACTTGCATCAGTTCGATCGATTTTGAGGGTGAACAAGTTTTCCATTGATGTTTATATCTGTCATACTATGTACTAGTTGTTTGAATAGACTTTAATTGGGGATGGTGACTAGCAGTGGAATCCAGGATGCGCGTTTCGTCCTGTTTGGGACTCGTCAGTCAGCTAGATGTACCTGCATTCCCCAGTGAGTGATGATGTTCCCACCGAGGCTTGAACCCAGTGCCCATAGTTTCAAACGCCAAAGCGTTATCTACTAGACCACTTGGGCCACGAGAGCTGGCCACCTCTTGTGCAACGGGTCATATTAATTATTTAATTGAATTTTAGATTTTCCCGTCGATTGATTGGACCGAAGTGCTCGGTCTCTCAGGTTGACATTTCGGCTCCTTGTGCAGATGCTTCGACGATGTCTGGGCATGTAATTGAAATGTTGATGAATTGCCCCAATTGGAAAATAATCTGGTTGTAATATTGCTTAGAAAATAAGTAATTAATGAAACTCCAGCATAGTCTCACTTGTTCTAGTTACCACACTGTGGTGTTTCGTTTTCCTGATGATCTCGACCCTAAACCAACGAAACAACCATCATCCGGTGTATATAGATCACTTCGATCAGGTTAGGAGGTACTGCTGGGGTTAGTCTGTGTGGGGTATACAACTCTACTCATCTCTCAACCAATCAGTAGTATATAGTTGAATGCATTTACGCTTGCTTTTTTGATTACTTGTTTTGGTTTCAAACAGGACTAAATAATTTTGTTAATGACTCTAAACTATAGCAACCCCAAGCGAAACGACCTAATAAAGACCCTGATAGGTCTCTATCGACCAATCAGAGGAGTCCGATGTAAAAGCGCATAATTTGAAATGAACGTTTATATAAAGTAATGCAGTGTTAAAGAATAGTTACATAGGATAAACTTCTTCTATATGTCCCGAGAAAACCTCCCAATCCGTCCGCATAGGAGTTCTCAAAGTTAGGTTGAACCAATCTCTGTACATAAATTCGTCGAGATAACTGTGAATCATCGTGTCTCTTCATCTATTCATTACTCCTCTGATCGTTTTTTCTAGGTGACTCCCATCGAAAGAATAAAGGAAATCGTCTGCATGACTGACTGGCCATGTTGTGATGAATATAGCCCAGGAATGATAGTTGGTCTTTGTGAATGCTTGTGCCTGGTAGGACTAAACAATGGATAATAGGTAATGAAACATTGGCACTAAGATCAGGGATCGTTTGGATTTATACTTTCTGCAGGGTGGTATCATATAATCCCAAAGACCCCCTGCTGAGTGGCACTCCAGCTATCTCGATTATATCTCCTGTTTATAAGCACTGTTTCATTTGTATGAACAATGACACCGATGCCACCAAGTATTTGCATCATATTGTTCATTTTCCATGACCTTATATCTCTGCAGTACTGATACCACTCCAGTGCAAACACTTCTGAATTCTCTGTCTCGAATGCCATTGCTGTAACTGGTCTTTTCAGGACCAAGTTGCGACACATTATCATGATTTGCGTTAAAGGCAACTTCAACTTGGCAAAGAAAGTACCTACAGCAGCCATAAACTTAAAAAAAGAACGACATACTTTCTCGAACTGATTTCCTACTTCGACAGTCTTCTCACCTGTAGACAAATCCATAAATGCAGCCGGTGTATCTTTGAAAATGCAACACATCTACATGTATTCGCCCTTCCTATGATTCAGTTATCCAAACAGAGTACTTCAATACTAGATCTGGATGAAATTAGTTACGCAATTGGCGTACAGTATCCATAATTGCGCCTATATACACTGCGGACTCATCTGATTGGCTGCCCAAGGTCATTTATCCGTTTATTAGACAATTTCGTTTTGAACTGCTATAGTTTAGAGTCACCATTTTGTTTTATAAAGGAAATGTGGTTAAAATTCACCTCTTCAAACTGTGTAAATTGCAAAATGGCCAATTTGATTTTATTTCTATATATGCCTACTTTACATTTCGTCGTCTATCAGTAGTATATTCTTGATTGTCTTAGTAATTGTTTTTTCTCTCGTTTTTTTGTTTTTGAAATCTTTTCTTTACAAAAGTACTCATCCTGAAATGCCAAATCGTATAAGATATGCTTATGAAATGTTAGATGAACTTGGTCTGTCACGTCGGTGTAAACGTATTGAAGTAAGTTTTGAACAAGTGTGGCTGTGTGTGTGTGTGTGCGTGCCTGTTTCAGTTTTACATTGGTTAGTTAGTTAGCGAGAACTCGATTGATTGCCTGTAACCGAACTTTTTTATTTACCAGACCTGTGAAATCCACTTAATATATGAGGCCTTATGATACTATCGACGAGTTTGTTGCTCAGGCTGAAGTAGACGGTGCGGTCATTCAACAAGCGAAATAATTAGAAGCCCAATAAATTCAGGGAGTACTGGATAGCCAGTCGGACTGGGACTTATCGGCAGTATGCATCCACCGGGTTTCGTACCCAGGACCTTCCGGTTACAAGGGAAGCTCACTAACCATTCAGCCATTGGGACCAGACTCCTCAATGGCCATTCCTACTAATTCGTGATTATTTTTAGCGCAACTGTCACCAGCCAATGTCAACGATGAGTAGTTGTCCTCATTCCCGACCGGGTGGACCCTACTGGTTACGACTTCTTGAGTCGGGTCCCAGTGTCTGAATGGTCTACTAGCTTGACTTGTAACCGGTGTAGGTCCTGTGCTCGAAACCCGGTGGATGTGTATTGCCAATGAATCCCGAACTATGGTGACGAAACATCTGTCCAGTACTCCCTGTTGGTTTTCAATAGTTTTCAAACTGGTATCAATCCATGATCAAAGCATATTTCAATCTCTGAAATAATGGAGGAGATTTGTTGCTTGCGGTGGATGTATTTGGTGTTGTTGTTTCCTCTGAGTGCTTTCATCGCCCTTCTGTACAACATCTTCAGTACTAACTTCAGTGTTGAAGTCAAATGTCTCTTCGCAATGATGTATTCTTTCAGAAACACGCAACTGAACAGGATAATATATTTATTTGATTTTTTGTATTACCAATACGCTCAAGAAGTTAACCAGAATCCGCGTGATTTGAAATGTGTGTGGTAGTGGCTCAGGGGTAGATTGCCTGCCAGTCCTGCGCGTGGTCCCGGTTCCCAATCCTGGCCAATACATTCCTAAACCTATCCTAGTCGGTCTTAAGCCTGGGAAAGAGGGGGGATTGGTTATGAGGCTAGCAATCCTACCCTGTAAAAACAACATAAACGCTACCGCTAACTTCGAAGCTCAAGTTTGAAGCCCTGTGTTCCACCAGGAATGCAAAGCAGTGAAGACATGTTCGGTTTTCTGAGTTAAGTATAACCGGGCACATCGCTGATGTGCTCGGCCGCGAACGGGCAAAACGGGGGTTCAGTGTTTAGATAACTTCTATTCGTCTAACAAAATGTCTCCTCTGTCTGTTTTCGACATAGAACTTCGCACACATATGCGGCAGTTCAAGTCGCCACACTCCCTGTAGCACACAAAGCAAGAGAAGAAAGTAGGAGAAATGCATATTAGAGACAGTAAACAGAGGTGTGAGACAAAGGTATAGTAATAACGAAGAACAAAACAGTTTCATTGGAAATCATAAGTCACAAGGAGTGGATGCATCTGCGCCAGCCATTGAGAACGATCATTTTGAGCCATGTCACCAATTGTTTCCCGAAGGAAGTCTACACCTTCCTACGTGGCTTAGACTAACTGTTGTAGATTTGATTGACTGGTGCCATGTTTTGGTTTGACCGCCGCTAGCTCTTTTCCAGCCTGACCCTATATCAGCTAACATTGCCCGTCTAACAAAAACTGCTGGTTGATGTGAATGGTAACTAACTACTCATTACCAATCAGTCAGTAGTATATCACGTCGCACACTTTTTATTTTGGATGAACTTGAAACACTGTGAGCACCAGTAGCTGTGCGATGTGAGAGGTAAATATTTGAGAGACAACGGAATCGTAACTGGTCAGTATACTTACTGAAAGCATTCATCATTACTTCATATTACATTTAGAAAGAGGATAAAAGAGGAAATGACAGAATATTCGCTACTGATTTCGATTCTCAGACGTTTGTGATAATTTCTCCAGTTGCCGAGTCTCCCAGTATCTTGAACTCTACTCAATGATTCGTGATGCATTAACACACAGTAACCCAACACAACCATCCTTCATCTCACAGGACCACTCTTTTCCTTTGTACATGGAGTCAATCTAGGGCTAGCAATTAGTGAGCGGTATATAAGAGTCACCAAAGCCGGTGCTGCAAGGTGAAATCACTCATTGAGGAACTGTCTACACCATTTCCTTTTATATTTTGCAAAAACCGTGAAGTTGATATAAGGATTCCGAGAGCTGGACACAGATTCGGTGATCACAACATACAGCTAGTCTACGCCAAAATCATCATACGACGGCTACCTGATCCCTCCGCCAGCCTCTTTTTACTTAAGCGAGAACATACAACGATATGGGATGGAAAGTATAAGCATTAGTAGTATCAGTAATATTTACAAAAGGAAACAATACATGGCCAATATATCATTTCCAAATCCATACCGTCAGAATCCCAAATTGCCTACACGATAATGCCATCAAATACCACTGATTCTTCGGAGATGGCAGCAATGGAATACACAGATTCGCTTGGAGAAGCCAGATATCCGTAGACGCATGATAAGGTTGTGCACACTTAAGTGTTCTAAACCCCAACCTCTAACGGTTGTACAGCATGCATCTATCAATCTGTTTAGTACTAATTCGTTGATATAAGAACAGAACTTGTGCACTGTGGTAGAGTATAATTCCACTGTGGATAAAGTGTATTTTGATAAAGTTTCACAGTGTTATACAGTAATATTTACCGATGACGACGTTTCGAGCACAATTTATTGCCACTCATAATCATATCAAGTTACTCACACAACTTTCAAACTTGTGAGGTTAACTACATAGGTCAAACTAGTAGGTCGGGGGTGTAGTCAGATTGTCGGAACATAAGAATTTAGCTATGGTTAGAATGGTTGACCCCACTCACGAAGATAAGTAATTTAGAAAAAAACTCGGCACTGCATGCATTAACGCACAATCACACAATAAGGGAGAGAAGAGTTAAAATTCTAAAAAGTGATGTAGGTAGGTGGAAAGAAGGAGATATTGATTACTGAATCCTTGTTCATCGCGTGCAATAGGAATGACTCATCACACTGATACCGGAAATATGGAAAATACTACTAACAATCAAGTGAAGCGATGAATTGAAATAATAATAATTATCATTGTTCCCTTGGGTTCCTAGTGGAACATAGGGCTTCAACCAAACGTCTCCACTTGCTTGTCTTCTGCTGTACTTTTCACCTGCATCCATGTTAATCCATACTGTTTCAGCTCCTCTTCATACGATCTCCTCCATGTCACCCTTGCACTCACGTCCCACTCGCCGCTTCCCTTTCGGGTTCCACTCGAGCACTGGCCTGACGCGCGATGTCTCCCCCGCGACCTCCTCAGCGAGTGTCCAATCCATCTCGACTTTCTCCTACATATTTGTTGAGCGATTGGTTCTTGTTTTGTTTGTTCCCATAGTTTCTTGTTGGTGATTCTTTCCGGCCATCTGATCTTGAGTATAGAACGAAGACAGCTGTTGAACAAAGCATGGAATGGCAATCAAACCTCTACCTCAACTTTATAGACTTTAAGAAGGCCTTCGACAGCGTTGACCGCGAAGTAATTTGGAAACTACTCGAGTACTACGGCGTACCTCAAATATTCATCAACCTTATTCAACATGGAATTATATAAATGAAGTTAGAAAGTTGTGTGAGTAATGCCTTGATATTGGGATTATGAGCAGCAATGAATTGTGCTCGAAACGTGATCATCAGAAAATATTACTTACTGTATAACACACTGTAAGACTTTATCAAAATAAATTCTATCCACAATGGAATAGTACTAATTCACACTGAAAGACGACACCCCTAGGCAAAAAAAAAATACATCTAAATCTAAAAAATTTCAATATATATTTATTTATCTTTCTTCTCAATAATTTTTCATTTTTTATTTACTTATTTAAAGGCCCGTTATGCTACTCAAGCTGAATTATTACGTGTTCATACAGAAGATTATGTCAATAGAATAGCTGCAACAGCAAGTATGGATCAGTCAACATTGAATGATTTAGGCGCTGTAGAAGATTCAATTTTTTTCAATCGCGTAAGTGATGGTGGTGATATACTACTTATAAAATTGAATACAGAATCTGATGAAATTGTTTGTTTTGTTTTTCTCCTGAAAAGAGCAAATGTTTATTTGTCATCACAATCACATTTAAGTGTATTATGAAATAGCGCTTTGCATTCTTTCTCTGTTTGTGTTTGTTTTGTGAATCATATGATCCATCATGTGTGTACCCCCCCCCCTGGTCATCGTTTTTGTTTGTAGAACGTACATTCTAAAGCTAAATTAGTTTATTTTTAACATCTATGTGTCTTATCAATCAATCCAAATCACGATAAGCAGTAACACTTCAATCTATGGTGGACACTTATCTGTGTAGGTCTTGGTAGGGATGTCTGTCTGTCTGTCTGTTTTCCACATAGAACTTTGCACATATGTGCGCCAGTTCAAGTCGCCACACTCCCTCCATGTAGCACACAAAGCAAGAGAAGAAAGTAGAAGAAATGCATAATATAGACAGTAAACAGAGGTGTGAGACAAAGGAATAGTAATAACGAAGAACAAAACAGTTTCATTGGAAATCATAAGTCACAAGGAGTGGATGCATCTGCCCGGCCAGCCATTGAGAACGAAGATTTTGAGCCATGTCACCAATTGTTTCCAACCATTGGTTTTACCGTCCCGAGGACCCCAACCATCAGGAAGTCTACACCTTCCTACGTGGCTAGCTTAAACTAACTGTTGTGGATTTCATTGACTGGTGCCATGTTTTGGTTTGACCACCGCTAGCTCTTTTCCAGCCTGACCCTATATCAGCTAACATGGCCCGTCGAGGAAGGCGATGACTAGGCATACGTAACACATGTCCTAACCATCTCAGTCGATGTAATTTCACAGCCTCGTCGATTGATTTACCCTCTTTACCTAGCACTCGACGCCTAACCTCAATATTGCTCACCTTATTATACCACTTCACGGTAGGGATACCGTCATATCAAAATTAATTAAACTAAATATATTAAAAAAGCAGGGTACACACCTACTTCAGGGCAAAGTCTGATTCACTGGATACAAATTTAGTCATATAACCCCATAGATCGACGTGTAGTATCATCTTTCGATGATTCTTTTCTACTAGAGATTTGTCAAAATGGTTGTTGATTCTTCTTTTGGAACGACCACAATATGAATTTTCTGTAAGATAGATCCCTTCAGCAGCATTCTTCGAATGTTTGACATGCGATTCACTCCTGTCAAATGTAAGATGATGCTACAGGACTCAATGGACTACATCGACTCACTTCTAGCTTAAAGGTAGGCAGGAGTGAAGTGGTTGGTGGAGCGTGTTGACCACTTCACTTATTTGGGAATTCGCATCAGCTAGCGCCAACGGGTTGATTGCTGACGAAATCTCAGCACGGATACAGAAAGCTCATCTGGAATTTACCTGCCAACTTACACCATCTCTGGCTTAGTAGACGTGATATCCGGCTGGCTGGCTGGCTGGTTATCGATCAAAGACGTGTGTACTGTACAGCAGCAGTTCACTCCGTCCTCCTTTATCACTGTGAGTGAGACATGGGCATTGAAAGCGGAAGATATGAAAAGCCTGGCTAGCTGTCTTTGATCGTAAGTGTCTGCGCTGTGTCTCATGTTAGGTGGTGAGTGTAATAGGGTGAGTAGTATTGAGGTGAAGCATCGACCGAGTGCTCAGTAAGGAGGGAAAATCAATCAACGAGGTTGTGTTGGTGAATTGATTGAGATGGTTAGCATATGTGTTGCTGTGCATGCATGCCTAGCCATCGCCATCCTCGACAACGGGCAATGTTAGCCGCGGACATAGGGTGGATCAGGTTGGAAAAGAGTTAGCTAGTAGGTGGTCAAACCAAAACTTGGCTTCATCAGTCAATCAAATCTATAACAGTTAGTTTAAGCCAGCCATGTAGGGAGGTGTAGACTTCCTGTTTGATTGTTGTCCTCAGGATGCCATGAATCAGTGGCTGGTGGTATGGCTCAAAATGGTTCTGTGTGATGACTTTTGAAGATGCGTTCACTATTTGTGAGTTATCATATCGTCCGTTGTACTATTCACTCACTCTTTGATTGTGGCGGCCCGGGTTACCTGAATTCCATCGAATACAATACATGAAATTTTCTCTCTGTATCTCTTTTTGTTTTAACGGGCGATTATGATGATATAGCATATCCCTTTTCTGAAGTGGCACCACCTGCTTTATCGGGTAGTTAGGTAGGTAGGTATTAGGGCGTTTCAATAAATAGGCCAAGGTTATATCCGTATGATATCATGAAGATTCAATAATATGTGCCTGACTTTTGTACGTATTGCCTCATTTAATCCATTACAATGTTGCGTAGATATCAGTATCAAGCAAGATTTTCTGATAAAATTGCAGCAAATGTAACGCAGTTCACAAGAATATGAATGCCACTGTGATAATAATATGTACACCGGAAAAAACCTCTTTTTAATGCGAAATTAATAAAAATAGTATAAACTGTCATTAAACCACCATTGCAACGGACAATGATGCTAAAATTAGTGACTATATGCAGTAAAGCTATTCTTTACTGATACGTGCCTTCAACTGACTTTCTTTCTACCTACTCTTGAGCATTTCTCAGAGAGGAGAGACAAATGCCATACAAGGGATTATTTTATTCAAGTGTTGGTTTGTAGGGATTTGATTGGTTACAGGACTTTCATCATGAGCTGACATTAGTTAGAGAACCATTGGAAAACCTGCAGGGAGTACTGGACAACTGTTTCGTCCTAGTTTGGGACTCTTCATCGGTACGCACCCACCGAGATTCGAACCCAGGACCTTCTGGTTACAAGGCGAGCTCGTATACCATTAAGCCACTGGGACCCGATCCAATGACAGTGCATGAATTCTAACTTCTGCCAATTCACGACATAGCGCGACCGCTAGCCAATGTCTTTGGCGAGTATTTGTCCTCACACCCGACCTGCTGCATCCTACTGGTCACAACTTCTCACTAGAACCCCAGGTAACTACCTACCTGAATAGGGCAAGTCGCTAGTGAGCATCTCATTGATATTCAAGTATTGGTTTGTAGGGATTTGATTGGTTACAGGATTTTCATCATGAGCTGACATTAGTTAGATTTTTTATTCTTGATATCGAACAGTATTGCGTCAAATGAAATATTGTTGATTGCTATCTTACTTGAATTCAAGATCCTAAATGAAGAGAAAATATTCTGCAATAAACTCCTCTAACAGTTTTGTATATTGTATTAACATTTTGTACAGTTTAAACCCACTATTATTATTATTATTATTATTATTATTATTATTATTATTATTCCCAATATTTTTTTCAGCATACTTATGATAGTGCTCGTTTGGCAAGTGGTTCCGTCATCGCTGTTGTGGATGAAGTGTGTTCAGGTGGTGTAAGTACTCCGTATTTGTGTTTATTTTTTTGAGCATTTCTTGTTTTCCCTTACTCTGTTCATTGGTTGTTGTCGTTGTTATTGTTGTTTTTTTTTCAATATACGAACGATATCATCTCGTGACATTTGCGCTAACTACCTCACGTGTATGCATAAAAACACTTTTATTATTTAAGCATTGACCATTGAATAGAGATCATTGAACAAAGCCTGGAATGGCAGTCACCTCTTTATCTCAACTTCATCGACTTTGAAAAGGCCTTCGACAGCGTCGATCGAGAGGTGCTTTGGCAACTACTTCGCTACTATTACGGGGTGCCACCGACAATTATACATCTCATCCAACAGTTGTACGACAATGCTGCATGCCAAGTAATCCACAACGGGAAACTTACGGAATCCTTCGAAGTGAAGACGGGAGTAAGACAAGCTGGCTGCCTACTATCGCCAATGATTTTCCTGATTGCAGTAGACTGGATAATGCGACAAACAGCGCCGGGAAATGAGGAAACAGGTATAAAATGGACTCACACAAAAAGCTTGGAGGATCTGGACTTCGCCGATGATATATGTCTGATTTCCCACAAACTGGAAGATATGCAAGCGAAAAGCAACAAGTTGGCAGAAGAAGCATCCAGAGAAGATAGGACTTCAGGTGAACATAGAGAAAAGAGAGGTGATGAAGATTCCTGGACAACAACAGACAACAATCAGCATAAATGGGAGGAACCTGAAAGAAACAACCTCCTTTACCTACCTGAGAAGCATCGTTTCAACTACAGGCTGACGGAACTGACGAGGATATCAAAGCAAGGATCGGAAAAGCAAGACAAGCTTTCACTACTCTCAAGTCTGTGTGGAGGTCAACAACACTCAGCATCAAAAATAAGATCCGGATTTTCAACTCCAATGTGAAGTCAGTTAGTGCTACTATACGGATCAGAGACTTGGCCAGCGCGTCATAAAGAGCATCTCAAACAAACTACAGACCTTCATCAACAGTTGTCTTCGCTCAATACTCAAGATCAGATGGCCAGCCAGAAAAGATCAGCAACAGAGATCTCTGGAATGAGCGAACCAACCAGGAACCGATTGTGAAACAAATAGGCAGGAAGAAATGGAGATGGATTGGCCATTGCTCGAGTGGAACCCGAAAGGGAAGCGGCGAGTTGGTCGTCAGTGCAAGGGTGACTTGGAGGAGGTCATGTGAAGAGGAGATGAAAGCGTGTGGGCAGACTTGGAGCCAGGTGAAAACTCTAGCAGAGAACCGAACGCAATGGAGACGCGCGGCTGAAGCCCTATGTTCCTCTAGGAATTAAAGAAAATAATAATAATAATTGAACAGAGAATATTCTTTTCGATAACCTCCTCTTCATCATCAGGTTCTACAGTTATATATACATCCATAATCATGAAGGAATGATTGTTACTGACAACATCAGTGTTGTAACATCGAATCATTGACATTAGAATTCCAAAAGTTATTTGCAATTAGATTGTTAATAGATTATAGTCCAAAATATACATGTGTATGTGGTAATATGTAAAATTGTAATCCTAAATTGAACACCAATGTTACAAATAAATGATTATGCGTGACAACGAATGTATAGTAGTAAATTCGCATGAGTCGTGTTCATATTAAGTTCCATTCATATTGTTTATAAACTTCAGACAGATGAATAATCATGTTAAGGACGAGGGGAGAAAAAATTTTGGATAGAAGGTTATATGCGTTGTGTGTATGTGCCAGTGTGGAAGTTAACAGTTACTTTTAAATAAGAAAACAGAAGGTTAATTAATGCAAGTGTAATAACGACGGGTAGGGGAATTCATACATACAGGATAGAGGACCATATCAAAAAAAGCCGACGTAATAGGGTATTTATGAAGCTGCAGACTCCACAGCAAGCCAGGGCAGTTATTGTGGATGAACATGTTTCTTCTACACACAGAGCACCGGTTGGTTTAGGCGGGTAGCAATAGCCTCTTCTGTTTGGAGCATTCTCTACCTGGATGTTTTTGGCGATTTATTTGATACCCGATAGACAATGTATATATATATATATATACATGCTAAAACTTAATGGTTATGAAGACTCTCTCTGTCTCTGTGACTTTTTTCATTCAAAATTGATCACAATGATCCTAGTGAATTTGTTTTTTAATCGTTTTCCTCCCTTTTCCTGAATCCATATCAGTATTATTGATTTTAAATTGATTGAGCTGGCGATTACGTCATATCTCCGGCCATTAATTCCTCAAGTTATTTGTACATCTCGATGGAATTCATCTACACCAGTAATGTTTATAAAGTTCACACTATCCTCTCTTACACCCGTCGATATCATTGTCTTGTATCATTATAGCCTAATTTTATGTGAAAACATACAAGTTCACTGTAACGTATTGGATTTATACTAACAATAACTTTAGCGAAGTTAAATTATCATAGCCAAAGTCAAGGCCTTTCAAAAGTTGACCTTCAAGAACCGATCAGACACAGGGAATGAATGCTATGAAATATCAGTCAAAATCAAATCATGTCTGCCTTTTTCGACTTGGAGAGGATAGATACAGTATTCTACTGATTTACTAGGTACTTTATCTGCAGATCTATACTGTTAGATAGGGTTATAGCTTTTAAGATTAAGGTTTAGGATCTAGGGTTAAGCTTAAGTTTAGGGTTAGAGTTGGGATTATGGTTAGAGTTAAGTGTAGGTTGAAGAATAGTGTCAGAAATATCAATGGATCTCAATGTACCGTTACCTACTACAGTCACCTGGATGAATGGGTATATCGCGCATGGTAGCATTTCCCTATAGATCATCTGTGTATTGACTGGGAGACATTCTCACAACAAATAACCTACAACTATACAGTGTAAAATCACGTTTGCAATATTTTTTTAGTGTATTTTTCAACGATTATGCAACTTTTTTGCATCTGAATTCCGATTGGTGGTTGCTCAAGGTCATTGTGTTTTTGACTAGGATAGTTTAACTTTGGCATAATTTTAATTCAATTACTTATAATTGTGTTCTCTTTGTTGTTTGTTTGTTTATTTCAACAGAGTTTAAATGGCGTGGCGGTAATTCGTCCACCTGGTCATCATGCATTTAAAGATGGTTGTATGGGATTTTGTTTTTTTAATAATATTGCTGTCGGCGCTAGACATGCACAACAAGTACATGGATTGGAAAGGTAATCATAATAATAATAGTAGTAATAATTCATATACCTGATTGTTTTTATTGTATATGAATTATTTTAATAACACGTGTTATGTTTTGTGGAATCAGTTATATTCATATTTCTGATCTCTAGTTGTGATGTATATCCGACCGAAATTGATCAGTCAACTGGTGATTCCTTGAACAGATGTCTTGAAATTAATGATTACTAACTTTTTGTGGTTGTTATTGAAACAGTAGAAGACGAAAGACTTGGTTAAGAAATTTTTATTTGGAAATTGGTATCTCTCCAGATAGCCAAATTATGTACACCTTATCTACAACGCCGCACCATTTGCACAGATCTTTGTGTTGTGCTACTTCTAGCCTTCATATTTTGTGTGTTTCTTTGTGTTCCTTTCACGTAGTATCCCATGTATCTCTGCAACGCTGTATCATTTGTCTTCTCTGACATCAAATGTATCTCCTTACTATTTGATGTTTTTTATGCCGATGAATGTTTCTTTATATACTACTGATAAATGTTATCAGTAACATATTAATATATGTGTAAAACTTGTGGTAGTAAATAATTCCATATTGGTTTGTTTATTAGATATATCACATAGTCAGTGAAACAGTATTATTTACTGGATGACGTTTCGAACAAAATTTATTGTTCATAATCATATCAAGTGTAATCACACAACTTTAAAACTTGGGTTTTATAGTTTTCTTTGTTTTCTCCTATTTGTCGTCGTTGGGGTAGTAGAATTTTCCAGATGGCATTCAAACCCAGAAACTCAATTAGAAACAAGCTTGTCGGTTAAAGGATCCTGTGAAGCCTTTAAAACAAAACAATTCAGTTTATCTAATATCCTGCTTTAATGATTGTCAGGTCAAATACATAAGTCAAACTAGTAGAACAGGGGCAGTCAGACTAGCTGAACATAAAAACCTAGCAAAATCTAGATTGGTTGACCCGAATAAGATAAGAAGAATAGTTCAGCTGTAGCACTCACTGCCTGTAATCACACACAACCATACAGTAGGATGGATGGGATAGGATGACAGTTTTAAAATCTAATGTCACAGGGTATAGGGTGACATTGATAACAGAAGCTTTGTTTATCGAATCAACTGCAAATACGTGTAATAGGAATGATTCAACACCTGTCCCAGATATCTGGAAAATTCTACTATACCTACGAGAGGACAAAGTAAACTATTTTGGTGTGGTTGTGTTCTCTGAGCTGGATGGTTTGGTTGCGAAGCTTTCATTGCTCTACTGAGCAACATCTTCAGCGCATACTTCAATGTGAAGTGAGCTTTTAGAATTCTCTATGAGTTTATTAGTCATCTCTTCTAGTAACCTTGAACGTGATTGGTTGTTTTCGTGTGACATTTCATCCCCTAGTTTGCTTGTCTCGGTGCTGGCTGCTTCTTTGGTCTGAATGTCGTTAGTCATTCCTTCTGCTAACCTTGAACGTGATTGGTTGTTTTTGTGTGACTTCTCACTTTCTAGTTCACTTGTTTTGGTGTTGACTGTTTCCTTGACCTGAAGTTTGACTTTGTTTTTGTGTGAATTTCTTCGTATGGATTGGTATATTTTGTCAATCTCTATGTGTCTATTGATTGCTGATTCATTTGAATACCAGGCCTCTAGGAATTCTCTGGCATTTTTGCAGTTCCCTTTGTCTAAGATTTGAACATTGTCCCAGTCGAATTGGTGCCCGTGGTTGTCTGCATGTAGTGATATGAGGGAGTGTATGTCGTGTCTTTTGACAGCTAGTTTGTGTTCGTGAATGCGAAGACGAAGAGGGCGTCCACTTTGGCCAATGTAATGTTTGTCGCAGTCGTTGCAATTTATCTTGTAGATGACGTTAGTCTTGTCTTCTTTTGCCGTTGAGTCCTTTGGCTTACATAGAACTGAGTGTAGTGACTTTGTTGGTTTATGAGCGACATCGATTCCAAAAGGTTTGAATAGTCTTGCAGTGATTTCGGAGATATCTTTTATATATGGTAGGACGACTTTCTTTGTGTTTTCGCTGGTGGCCTTTGATTTGGTTGGTTGAGCTGGGGGTAGATGTCTTTTGATGAAGTTTCGTGGGTATCCATTTCTTTGGAAGACGTCCATAAGATGATTTTCTTCAATTTTCCTCAAGTAAACTATAAAACTCAAGTTTCAAAGTCGTGTGATTGTAATTGATGAAATGATTATGAAAAATAAATTTTGTTCGAAACTTTGTCATCCAGTAAATAAACCTTTTTCACTGTGTGATATATCTAATAAACAAACTAATATGGAATGACTTATCAGTAACACCCGCTACATTTTCAGTGGAAGCCCAAACGTACGTTTCATCCCATTTTGGAGCTGGTTAGCTAGATATGCCAGGCCCCTTCAATCCAGGTAGCGGTGGTGTATTCCCATTGAGACTGGAAATCAGCACCCATCACTTCAAACGCTTAAGCGTCACTAACCAAGTAGTCAATGTCAAGTTTGCAAACTTGACTGATAAAATTCAGTCAAACACATTAACACCGACGACTTGACACATTAGACATTGGTTACTTTTTATTGCTCACATGTATGCATTACAGTCCGGCAGGAGGTCAATGACGAATCTGATGAATAACTCAATGTTAGCGTCTGTAATTGCATCACTGGATGATACGAGTTTGTGAATATCAAAGAAGACATTAGTTCCTTTAAATGGTATAGCTACTCTATGCTGATGAGTGCCCACATCTACGAAACCTAGGTGTCTTGATATCTTCTCGTCGATTGTCTGCATCCACCTGATATCAAGTGAATCCAACTTACGCAGAATGACTTTATTCAAAAAATATGATTGATTAAAAGTAGTGTTGATTGATACAATTTGATAGAAGTGTGAAATACCTGCCCCTTCTGTTTGTTAACAACTTCTTACCTTAATCATATACCATTCAGTATATCACGACGACACTGATGATAGACAGACTGACAGAGATATATATATAAAAGTGTAGAACTCGGTCACTGTGGTAGAATGTGTAATTCCACATGTTGAACTTATTGAATATGTGAAAAAACTGACAGATAGATTCATTGTTCCTTTATTTTTTGTCTGTCATTCTTTCTTTCTTTCTGTTCAATTCTAGAATTGCAATTATCGATTGGGATGTTCATCATGGAAATGGGACAGCGAAGATTTTCGAAGATGATCCAAAGTAAAGTCTATCATTGTAGTATCATTATAAATTTCCCTTCTCTACTTTATTCAATTAATTTATTGATTTTTTTTCAAAAGAATGGTTACTGAACAAAGAATATTCACATTTTCGATAACACCTTTTTCATCACGTTCTACGGCTATATACCCAATCATAATAGTGAATGAATTAGTGTTATTAACAACATTAATGTTGTTTAAATAACATCGAATCAGTAATAATAATGATATCAATGGATTACAGTTCTATAGCATCAACATAACAATACACGCTGAATATCAGAGAAATTAGGAAAAATAATAATACAAATTCATGAATTTATAATCTCCACTGAACGCCGGCCAGGGCAGTAGTAGTTTCTGGACTTGCTTCTTTTGCACACAAAGCACTGGTTGTTTCACGCGATAGCCTCTGCTGTTTGGAGAATTCGGTACCTGGATGCTTTTGGCAATTTATGTGGCACTCGGTAGATGATAGAGAAGAATTCGTCAGTGCTGGCTGACTTTGTGGCCGCTTTAGACCATGTGGTCTAATATCGAACTGTTGATGGTTTTTACTTCACCTTTACTTAGCTGTACTGGTAGATGTTCCCGAGCGAGCACGAAAAATCAAGTCGCTAGATCAACGGCCAATATAACTCGCCCCACAAGCTCAGTTGAACTGGCAGATTCAATTAGAAGTGGCTAGTCTAGGTACTTCATCTTTCAGTCGAGTAATCACCATCAGTCGTGTAGAAAATAAAACTTGTAATTTGCCAGCATTAAAAGTTCTTTGAACTGATTTTCTAAACTTCTTAGTAATTATTTCGCTAGATATATCGCCCTTAAATTGTAGTCGTATGTATAAAGGCTTCTTGTTTACGGGGAGTGAATGGTCCCTTTCAACTTTCTTAGTCATATGTTTCCCGATGCATTTGTTTGGATAGCTTTGATAGATACGACTGCAATTCAAGGGCGATATGCAATGTTATTTAAACAACATTAATGTTGTTAATAGCACTAATTCATTCACTATTATGCATAGATATATAACTGTAGAACCTGACGAAGAAGGTGTTTTCGAAAATGTGAATATTCTTTGTTCAGTAACCATTCTTTTGAAAAAAATTTTAATGGGCATTTTTAATCTGTTAATTTATTAATATTTAGTGTTGCTACAATATGTGATCACTGACTACTACAATAATGACCTGCTACTTTACAACAAGGTGATGTCCGTTATTGAAGAGATATACACCACGAAATCAGATGAATTCCTCATAAACCTAAGGTGTGAATATCTATATACTTCCCTTAGTGAACATCTCCAACCTTTAATAAGATATGGTAACCCATAGTGTGTATAAAATAAATCAGCTGTGAAGATAGTTACTCAATGATGAAGTTGAATAAAAAAGTTAGGAATCTTGGATCACGTAATGGATTCCGACATAATAAAAATACATGCGAAGAAAGGAATAATGAATTCCAAACATTATTATTAGAATGCGTTAAGATTGCTAGATATGTTGCCTCCATATTTATTGTCACACAATGACTATTTTCTATAATTGGTTTCTAAGGATCAGATTTGTTTTTACGAGTTGATCACGGATTGATATCAGTTAAAGAACCATTGAAAACCAGGGAGTACTGGACAGCTCGCCGTTTCATCCTAATTTGGGAGTCATCGGCAGTACTCAGTCCCTGGGGTTCGAACCCAGGACCTTCCGGTCGCGCTAAATCACGAATTGGTAGAAGTTAGAATTCATGGGTCGTTGAACCGGGTCCCAGTGGCTGAATGGTATACGAGCTTGCCTTGTAACCGGAAGGTCCTGGGTTCGAAGCCTTGTAGTGGGTGCGTACTATCGATGATTCCCAAACTAGGGTGAAACAGCTGGGTGTCCAGTACTCCTTGCTGGTTTTCAATAGTTCTCTAACTGATATCAATCCGTGATCAACTCGTAAGCACATAATAACTAACCAAGTATTAGAAAATATTCAATGAAGATTTATTTGGCTTATTAGTTTTAGCACTCAATCCTCATCCTTGTAGGTTCCAAGTCCGAATCCCGCCTTAGTGATTACGTGACATGATTGCTCCACTGTGATAGAGTCTGATATGCGAAAGATACGTTCTAGATAACCCAAATGATAGCATATACGCTAGACTTCACCTCAACAGCGTAAAAAGCCGTGTCGATTTAATTTCTTGAAGGAGTAGTACAGTCAAAGTCGAAGCTGACAAGTCATTCGTTAGTGATTACTTGCTTTTATCAATAAAAATAATGTGTGCGTGTATCAGCTTCTGCATCTATCTCTCACTGGGCTACGAATGTTCAGGAAGAAATGGAGTTAGGTGGATTGTCCATACTCTGAGAAAACAAACCATCAAGTGATTGACATCCACTACACTCCAGGTCATAGCTCGAGTGGAACTCGAATGGGAAGCGGTGAGTTAGTTGGTCGTCATTGCGAGGGTGACATGGAGGAGGAGGAGAAGTAATGTGAAGAGGAGATGAAAGCATGTGGGCAGATGTCAAGTCAGATGAAAACGTTGACAGAAAACCGAGACGTGCGGCTGAAGCCTTATGTTCCCCTAGGAATTAAAGGGAACAATAATACTGTGTGTCAGCTTCTTCATGTATCTCTCACTGGGCTACGAATGTTCACTATATTAGAACAAAATAACATTCCAATGCTTCACATTTTTTCTTAATTGTTCTATCGTAAACTGAATCAAATCATCATAAACCCATCATTTGTATGTGTAAAATATTCTTCTATAGTTTTTATCCTTCCTTTCTCTATCCATCTTTCTTTCTTTTCTTTCTTTTTTTCTTCTTTAGTATTTTATACATTTCAGTGCATCGTTTTGATAATGGTCGATTTTTCCCAAATACCGACTTTAGTTCAGCTCAATTTTGTGGTCTAGATGAAGGTTTAGGTCGTACAGTACATGTGGCATGGAATGGGGTTTGTTTGTGTGAACTGTTTTTTTTTTCTTTTCCAACTGTAACTTATTTTATTACTGTTGTTCTTATTATTATGAATGAAGTAGTCATAACACCAAACGATATAGTCATACAGTTATTATTTATATTAATTTGAATTTTCCCGTTAATTGTGATTGGATCGAAGTGTTTGGCTTCAGGTTGCCATGTTGACTCCTTGCGCAGATGTTTCAACGATGTCTGATTATTTAACTTGAACCACCAACCAATTTACTTTGAGTTAAATGATTAGACATCGTTGAAGCATCTGCTCAAGGAGTCGACATGGCAACTTGAGGCCGAGTACACTTTGGTTCAATCACAGTTAGCGGGAAAGTCCCAATTGAAATAAATAATAAATCATACTCGTTGTACAAGAAGTGGCTAGTTCTCGTTGCCCAAGTGGTCTAATGGATAACCTTTTGCCATTTGAAACGGTCGATTCAAGCGTCAGTGGGAATACCACTCTCACTCACTGGGGAATGCAAGTACATTCACTAGCTGGTGAGTCCCAAATAGGACAAAATGCGTGTTGGCCTGGATTCCACTGCCAGTCACCCTCCACCAAATTGTCATACAGGGTTTACAGGTAGCATTATTAAGTGATAAATTGTTACCTAAAAAGCCCAAATTATTTACACAAACCTACAGTGATATGATATCAGAAGACATGAGAGCTTATAATCAAACACATATTATTATCCAATTGCTGCGCCTCTACAGACACCTCAGAACAAGGAAAGAAAGAAGAATTCTAAGGACAGTTGCAAATAATAATAATGGACAACATCCCAAATGGCGACATTAAAGTCCTAATTGATGATATGTCTGTCTGTCTGTTGTTGACATAGAACTTTGCACATATGTGCGCCAGTTCAAGTCGCCACACTCCCTCTTTGTGGCACACAAAGCAAGAGAAGAAAGTAGGAGAAATGCATAATAATATAGACAGTAAACAGAGGTGTGAGACAAAGGTATAGTAATAACGAAGAACAAAATAGTTTCATTGGAAATCATAAGTCTCAAGGAGTGGATACATCTGCGCCAGCCATTGAGAACGACGATTTTGAGCCATGTCACCAATTGTTTCCAACCATTGGTTTTTACCGTCCCGAGGACCCCAACCAGTCATGAAGTCTACACCTTCCTACGTGGCTTAGACTAACTGTTGTAGATTTCATTGACTGGTGCCATGTTTTCGTTTGACCACCAGTGGCTAGCTGTTTTCCAGCCTGACCCGATATCAGCTAACATTGCCCATTGTCGAGGAAGGCGATGACTAGGCATACGTAACACATGTCCTAATTATCTCAGTCGATGTAATTTCACAGTCTCGTCGACTGATTTCCCCTCCTTACCTAGCACTCGACCGAGGCCTAACCTCAATATTGCTATTGATGATATAAATGCTAAACTGGAAGCAGAGAGTACAGTAAGAGAACTCATCAAGGATCGGGATGCCCTTTTAATGAAATAAATTAGGTAAGAGAGACAATAGATCACTATTCCAGGTAACCAGGTGATTATCCGGGAAGAGATCAACACCAACGAAACCAATGAATGGATAGTGTAACGTATTTACCAATAAGGAGAAAAGAAGCAAAAGAAACAATGAACTGATCAATTCAAATGACTTCTGAACGGACCACCACCACCATCACCTGTCACTCGTCTAGAAATACCACCAACTACTGTCAGTGAACACTAATCCTCTAAGAAAAGCAGAAATCTTGATTACCATAAAGCTAGCTTAAGGTCGGTAGGTAGCAGGACCATTAGAGAATTCTTCCCGAAAGCCTGAAAACGGATCTAGTTTGTATCAATTCGGAATTTACATCTCCTGCATTAACTTTGTATATCATTTTGGAATATGAACAATAGTTTTTTATGCATCGTATGACACATGTGTTGTGTAACCAAAAGTGTTATATGTCACTTATATGTCAGTGTGTGAAGTATTAGGATTACTTGAACGGAGATAATAAGCATCACGTTATTAGGATGTTTCTGTCAGAATCAAAATTCGAGTTAATGAAAAAATTATTCAGTCAGTATTATTATCAGGAATACAGATGATGAGTTATAAAAAGTAATGGTGACTTGAAAATACAGTTACTACAGGCCACTGCTACAATTGAATAATATAATCCACAGACCCATTTCACTGCTATGGTCAGGTCCACTGGTAGAACTTGTTTACCAATTGTAGAAATAGTCTTCGGACAAGAATGAAAATGCCCCTGAAAATTCCAAAGAATATAACATGAGTATTAGTAGAGAGTTAGAGGACAGTGGGAACCACCGAGACGAAAAAATGATGGACATCACGACTGTATTTCCATTCGAACACCAAAGAAGTGGACTAAATAAAACTTATGTACAATGTGTCCATTTTTTTCTCCATTTAATACAAACTGTACAAATTTGTTGTTTAGATAGGTATCCTCACAACGCTCACACTTAGAGGTCTACGAGCTCCCCTTGTAACTAGAAAGTCCTGGATTCGAACCTTGGCGGTAGGTGCTTACCGCCTAAGAGTCCCAAACTAGGTTGACGAGACAGCTGGCTGTCCAGTGCTTCAGTACTGGTTTTTCAATGGTTCTCTAACCTAGGTCAGCTCATGATGAAATCCTGTAATCAATCAATCAATCAAATCCCCTTACAAACCAATACTTGAACTTACAGTCTTTTTCTTCTCTTCATATTACAGTAATTTTTCATTTGAAAAAAATATACTTCTGATCGCTTATTTTTCATTTATTTTTTCATCATTTAGAGACATGTTAAAGACGGGGAATATATTATTGTCTTTAATAATATCATCATTCCAATACTGTATGAATTTAGACCACAGTTGATTTTAGTCTCTGCTGGTTTTGATGCTGTTCGTGGTGATAGACTGGTAAGTGAATCTTTCACATATGAAGTTTTTTTTTTTACTTTTTTTCGTTAAGATATACAAGTGTATTTTGCAATAAATGCGTGAATTGTTTATACTCTAATCACCGACAAAAACTGAAAGTCCTGAGGTGTATTACCAGTGGGGTCATGGGTGCATACTGCTGAACAGCCGTCACCTGTACTTTCTGATTCTCAGTGGTTGGTTCTTCAATCGATATCTGTTTCTTGATGTCATTTGAAATCTGTTGAATCGCCAAAACTTAAAAGTCCTAACTGCTTCTTTGACTGTTTTGAACTATGCAAGCACATTATCCTTTTCTTTTACGTCTGCTGTAGAAAACTGTCAGTCCTCATCAAAGTGTGATATCACGTCTTCCTCCACCCTCCGACAATTTCTCACATGCGTAGAGTTGACCCGTCTCCGTTGTGAGAAGCTTCATTTTTACCACAGTGGCTGCATTTCCATTCTACCACTTTTATGTTATCTACAATTGATATGATTATGAACAATAAATTTTGTTCGAAAGGTCATCCAGTAAATAATACTGTTTCATCACTGTGTGATAAATCTAATAAACAAACTAATATGGAATTACTTACTACCACAGTGCCCAAGTTTTACACATCTATTGGTATCTATTTTGTCAGTAATTATACATAATTAGTGAATAACACGACATTTTCATTTGGCACTGCCTTCCTCGACAATGGACAGTGTTAGCTGATGTATGATGGATCAGGTTGGAAAAGAGTGAGTTAGTGGTGGCGAAACCAAAACAGCTTCATCAGTCAATCAAATCCATATTGGTTGGTTTAACCCAGCCAGCCAGTCACGTAGGGAGATGGTAGACTGGCAAGCTGTCTTGTTTGGGTCCTCGGGATGGTAAAAACCAATGAAAGATGGAGAAAATTTGTGATATGGCTCGAAATCGTTCTCAATGATTGCTGGCACAGAGGCATTCCACTCTTTGTGATTTATAATATCGAACAGAATTCTGTTCTTCTTCCATATTACTATTCTTTTTACCTCATTTTTCTGTTTAATATCTGTCTTTTGAATGTCTTTTCAATCTCTTCTCTTGTTTTGTGTGGTGCATGGAGAGAGAGTGGCAACTGGAACTGCTACACACCTGTGCTGTGCTGAGGCTTCTGTTGAAACCAGCCAGTTAGTCACAGCCATTGAATATATTTTTATTCTATTTTCTGCCATCGCCTACTTATAAGTAGTATAAATTTAACGCTGAAAGTTTTGAATAAAATTTCTGTAATTTATTCTCACTGGTATAGAAATTTTTTCTATGATGAATGAAATGGGTGGAATATAAGTATACGCATTTATAGTATTATATCACACCTTGTTTTTATTACAATTTCTAATCTAGATGTAATCTTCGTTTTTCTATCATCGTCATCTGATACCACGCCCTTTTCTTTTTCCTCTTCTTTCTATAGGGTGGATTAGGCGTGTCTCCAGAATGCTTCGGTCATCTCACCCACTTGCTGATGACAGTTGCCCATTTAAATCCATCGGCGTATACATTAAATCAACAAAAAGAAAGCCAAACTGCTACTACTGCTCCTGCTACTACTAGTAGTAGTAGTATTGCAACACCTTCCACAAACGCAGTTAGACAAACACGTCAACGTATACATCAAGAGAAATCAGCTTCGTATTCTGGTGGTGTAATTATTGCCCTCGAAGGGGGATATCAATTATCGGGTACAGCTGAATCGCTGTGTCATTGTGTCTCTGTTCTACTCGGAGATAGTTGTCCACGTTTAGCAGCTAATCTATCAGCTTCTGAAAAGTATGTCCAATTTTTTTCTCTAACAATGATGTTTATTCATTTCATCAATATGTCAGCAGTTGGTTGTACTCCCTGTGTGTGTGTGTGCGTGTGTGTTTGATATTTCAATTTCATGTTATTGATTTCAAAGAGGTAGCTTCATTCAGCCATCGAATCTCTCTGAGTAGGTACTTAAACATTCGTGTAAACCCCATTATAGATAAAATTTTATTCTGATAAAGTGTCACAGTGCTATTATACTGCAAGTAATATTTATTGATGACAACGTTTCAAGCACAATTTATACACTGCTCATAGTCATATCAAGGTATTCACATAACTTTCTTGCTTCATTTTTATGTATGAGTAGAAATTTGTTAGATATTTGAATAAAATCAATATAAGACTTGCGTGAAACAGAATGGAAGATAAATTACATTCGGAACGAATATTAGTGTTATCAATAAAATACAATCAGATGAGAAATGAGATGTTATAATGGTAACATAAATAAATAACCTGTTAGAATGTTATAATGTGATTTAATTAGTGGATGGTGACTAGCAGTGAAATCCAGGATGCGCATTTCGTCCTATTTGGGACTCGTCAGTTAGCTGGATGTACCTGCATTTCTCAGTGAGTGGTGATGTTCCCACCGAGGATCGAACCCAGTGCCCATAGTTTCAAACTCCAAAGCGTTATCCTCTAGACATCACCGCTCACTTGAAAATTCTGGTGCATCCAGATGACGAGTCCCAACTGGGACGAAATGCGCATCCTGGATTCCACTGCTAGTCACCATCCAACAATTAAATGATTTCAAGTGTTATAGACAGAAAGTACAAGCAACATAACTCCAAAGATGATTTAAGTAGATGAATTACTTAGTGTTGAAAAAAGTAACTATTTATACAGTAATTAGACAAAGGGATGGAATTTAGATTTCTCTTGGAAACAATGATGGATTAGAGACAAATTACAAGATATAACAACAGCGTAGATTTATACGTATTATGACGGAGAGTTCCAATAAGTGAAAATCAGAATTAACTGGATTGGGGCTATGCTGCTACAGAACAAAACACAAAATCACACACACACACACAAACTAAATCTTGTTGTTGGTTCCTTCCCCTCCCCAAAAATTTCAGTGTTGTCTTACGTAAGGCTTTTCTATGCATAACGGTTTTTTTTCCTCAATAGACATTCACATGATTTATTTTTAGTCTAATCCTTTCTTTCTTTCTTTTTTTAAACGAATCAATAATTTTACAGAGGCTGTAAAGCTATTCGACAAGCAATTGAAATACATGAAAAATACTGGAATATGCTTAAAGGGTTTGGTACGTTTCTTTCTAATAATATTGATCAACTTTCTGTATATTTATATATGTATATTGACTTGCGTAATAATGACTACTCATGTATCGATTTTTGTGTATCGATTACCTTCAGTGACACATCTGTATATTCCACTCGATCCTCTATAACTTTCAACTGGCTTTACTAAACTAATACCCACAAGAACTTTCATTTTCTCTTAATCACGTGTTCTTCTTCTTCATGTCAACCTCCGATGCGCCTACTCATCTCTCCTCATTCGAATTCCACTTGAGGGTCTCTCGCATGTGATGTTACTTGAAGTTCTTAGAGTATGTCTAATCGATATATCTACCAATTGCTTCTACATATTCGTTGAGCACTAAATCAAAATTCTTGGCTGGTTTACTGCTTTCCAGAGCTACTTTCTTTGTTCATCCTTTTTTGGTCAAAACATTTGATCTTCAGTATCGAGCAAAGGCAGTAGGTGACGAAAGTCCCTGCAGTCTGTAACCAGTTGGATGTACTCTGGATGGACCAGACTGACTTGACACGAATATATATATATATATATATATATGGCTGTACAGTTATATTGTAACAACAGAAGACAAGGGCCAGGCAACAGATCGTTTATTAAGGAAAATCAACACATATTTATAGATTTTAATGTGAATTATTGTAGATTATTGTTAGTAGAAAATACAGTCTTTTGATTGGTTGTTTCTCACAGAGAGTTAACCTTGCATCTCTTTGTGGCTGTGTCAGATCATCCATATGCTAACTGTATCGGCCTACGCAAAGCCTTTGTTCTCATTTTCTTACCACCAATATTGGGGACATAAACATTGACGTCAATTACTGTCTACCAACTTTGGCTAGCAGCCAGCTCTCACCACAATATGAATGAACTCATCAGGAAAGGGACTCTTCGCTGAACTGTTTACTCTTCTCTTTCACTATATTACATCATAAGGAAGAACTTGCTACCTAACCTACTATGAATACCTGCCTTACTGATAGCTGCTACCTTGACTTATAGTAGTCTTATCTCAGTTATCTGACAGGCTACAATGACTGGAATGAATTTCCGCCTGCATGTCCTAACATGTGCGTCGGTGGCATATCGGTTAGGAGGCTCGCCGACCATGCACGTGGTCCGCGGTTCGATCCCCGGCCGACTCACTCCTTTACTTCGCTAAGCCAGAAATAATGCTGGTGAAGAGGAAAGGTTGGACATGAAGCTAGCAACCCCATCCTGTAAAATAAACACTGCTACAGAAACTTCAAGCCACTAGCTTGAATCCCTATGTTCCACTGGGGAACGTGAAGGAAAAAAACTGTCCTCACATGCTAGAAAGTTACACTTAGAAAGCAGTTCCCATCCTGGTTTAAGTCATTTACACTGTGTTTGAGGGTCTGAGGGTGATGTCGTACTTTTGACTTATAGTAGTACTCTGTTTCCCTTGGATAACCAACACGCCATTCATGCTGAGTCTCCACTCTGGAGGTTTCGTGGTTCGAGAGAGGGGGCAGAGAAGATTGGTGTCAAAAACTCTAAGTCTTGACTTACTTCTGTGACAGTTCGTAGCCGTTTACAGTCAGTCATTGAATACTGACGATATAAAACATGCATTATGCTAAGTTGTCATTCATTCGGTTGCGAAGGTCCATGAATGAAGTAGAATTTAGACACTTTTTTGTGTGTGTTTGGGTAGTCTAGCTACATTGATGGCTGATAGGTAAAAAAAACTTTGATTGGACACTAATTGGTGTGATGAATGTGTCTAGTCTTTTGTTTGCCACAGACTGGCTTCTATCAGTCTAGTTTGCAATGTGGTCACCATACTAGATGGCTTTTCATTATGGTGTACTCCTCAGAATTGTTGTTATTAGATTATTATCATTATTATTATTATTGTTCCCTTGGATTCCTAGTGGAACATAGGGCTTCAACTGAACGTCTCCACTTGCTTCTGTCTTCTGCTGTACTTTTCACTTGCATCCATGTTAGTCCATAATGTTTCAACTCCTCTTCACACGATCTCTTCCATGTTACCCGTCGACGTCCCACTCGCCGCTTCCCTTTCGGGTTCCACTCGATGTGCGATGTCACCCAACGGCCTCCTCAACGAGTGTCCAATCCATCTCCACTTTTTCCTGCATATTTGTTGGGCGATTGGTTCTTGTTTTGTTTGTTCCCATAGTTTCTTGTTGGTGATTCTTTCAGGCCATCTGGTCTTCAGTAGTATAGAACGAAAACAGTTGTTGATAAAGGTCTGCAACAAGCTTCATATGAACTGTGATCAAGATTTGACCGAATAGTTACAAAATAATTGAGCGCTGAGTGAGAAGTAGACATTTATACAAATATAATTTTATAAATGTCTGCAACAAGCTGTTGGAAATATTCTTTGTGACCCGCCAAGTTTCCGATCCGTATAGAAGAAGAACTGACTTGACGTTTGTATTGAAAATCCGAATCATTTTGTTGTTGATGCTGAGGAGTGACGAAGATTTCCAGATTGGTTTCAAGTTGATGAATGTGTTTCTGGCCTTCCCGATTCTCGATTTGACACCCTCGTTGGTCCGTTCTTCCTGTAGTTGAGACAATGCTCCCTAGATAAGTGAATGAAGTAACCTCTTTCAAATCCCTCCCGTTGTTATTAGATGGTTGGAGGTAATCGTCTGGAAGCCGTGCTTGACCTAGAGGTTTTGTGCTTGTTGACTGACACTCACCAATCAACAAGGCGGCGTATCTGCTATCTTGAAAGCCACATTGCTAACTCGACTGACAGTATTCAGTTTGCACCAAACAAAGAAAACTAGACACATTACACTAGATAGTAAATAGTGTCCAATCAAAGTATCCAATACAGTCAGTCCTACAGGAGGTGGTCAGTCGCGACTCCGAATAGCTCTCCGTGGTAACGTCTCTGACTGCAACACTCACTGGGTGACACGGTTTCGAATCTCAGAAGGGACATGCGTTCCTTCAAAGTGATTGCAGATACTCCTCACTGACTGTTGAGTGCCAACATACACGAAACCTAGTTGCAAACAGGGCTTCTTGCCGATTGTCTCCGAAAATCCAAGAGTATAAAACTTGATGAGTATTAGTCAGGTCCATAGTACTGAATCACTTCTTCTTTAATGAAAACAAAATACATAGTTCAGTGAAGAGTCTCTTTTTGGCGAATTCACTCACTTAGCTAGTTGTACAATCGCAATTACATATAATTATTTTTCAAGTATTGGTTTTGTAGGGATTTTTTGTTTGATTGCATGGAGGATTTCATCATGAGCTGACATTGGTTAGAGAACCGTTGGAAAATCTGGAAGTACTGCACACCTGTTTCGTCCTAATTCGGGACTCTTCGTCAGTACCCACCCACTAACAGGGTTCGAACCCAGGACCTTCTGGTTACAAGGCGAGCGAGCTCGTAGACCATTCAGCCACTGGGACCCGATCCAATGGCCAGTCGATGAATTCTAACTTCTGCCAATTCACGACATAGCGCGACCATTTCACAATGTCTTCTTCCTCCTGGGTTCGAACCCCCGGTGGGTGGGTACTGATAAAGAGTCCCAAATTAGGACGAAACAGGTGTCCAATACTCCCAGGTTTTCCGGTGGTTCTCTAACTGATGTCAGCTCATGATGAAATCCTCCATATAATTATTTTTGTATGTGTGCGCATGAGTGTACATCAGAATTGTCAGACAAAATTAAAAGTTAGCTAGGGTTATTGTTTACGTCATCAAAATGTTTTTTAAGAATGTGATGAATAATCAAATTGTAACTAGGGGTGAGAGGTGGGGTAAGGAATTAGGGTTGTTGTGATGAGTTGTCAAAAAAATAAACTAAGCAAGTTGTTACTACCAGTCAATGCATAAAACGAGTTGGATAAGTATGCTAGAGTTACGTAATAATAAGATGAGCAATTTATTGAGTGAGTTGTAATCAGGATTAAACATAGAAACGAAGGAGAATATGGAATTATGCAAGAGTTCTAAAGAAATAATACAAGGGTTACGTAAGAGTTGAAAAAAACAGACAAACAAAAGTCAAGTTAACAGAAATCAATAAGGTTATTGCCAAGATGATCGGGGAAATTGTTGAATAATTTCCTTTTGTATGCATAACTATGGTTTTTCCAACTGAATGACTAAGGTTTCAGCCAATACAAAGGAGAGGAAAGCGTATTTATTGCCTTCGGTAGGTTATTCTTCACTCTGTAGATTAATTTGAAGGAGAGGTGGTGTTTTCATTGAAATGAAACGACTGGTGTTGATAAGGCGATTGATAATCGCACTCCTCATTATAGAGGAGTCACTACTACTACGTTTTTGCAGCCATGTTTTGGAATAGTTTTCTTGAACCCTATTGGACAGGATACGTGTCGGACGTCCAACATACCTGATGAACTCACCTTCACAAAAAAAACAACTTAAACAGTACCAATACAGGTAGCCTAGAGAGTGTGAAAACACACAAAAACAACCAATCACGTTCAAGGTCACTCACTAATCAGGAGAGATGACTTATGATGAACTCGTGGAGAAATCTGATGGCTCACTTCAACAAATTGAAGTAGTATGCGCTGAAGATGTTGCCTAGTAGGGGTAGGGCCTTGAAAGCTTCGCAAATAAACCATCCAGCCAGCTCAGAGAACACAACTACATCAGAAAAACGAATGTATAGCCTGATTGTAAAGCCCAAAAAACAACTATTGGTGATTGGTCACACACATACTTACACACGATTTATTTGAAGTAGCTGTAGGAGTCATCTCTTTGTTTATACACAATAATATTAGTAATTCAGTTATACAGTGAAATCTAGTGAGAAGTCGTGACCAGTAGGGTGCAGCAGGTCGGGTGTGACGACAAATACTCGCCGAAGACATTGGCTAGGGGTCGCGCTATGTCGTGAATTGGCAGAAGTTAGAATTCATCGACTGACCATTGGATCGGGTCCCAGTGGCTTAATGGTACACGAGCTCGCCTTGTAACCAGAAGGTCCTGGGTTCGAACCTCGGCGGTGGGTGCGTACTGATGAAGAGTCCCAAACTAGGACGAAACAGTTGTCCAGTATTCCCAGGTTTTCCAATGGTTCTCGAACTAATGTCAGCTCATGATGAAAATCCTGTAACCAATCAATCAAATCCCGACAAACCAACACTTGAATCTATTTTTAATGGGTGTACGCACGAATTATGAGTCATTCAGTACTTTATTCTAAAATCACAGTACATACATACACCAAGTGTAGACTGACAAATATGAGCTACATTGTTATTATTATTATTATTATTATCGGGTGTGTCTATGCAAAAACTTAACAACAGGTCTCTTATATCGTCAGTCCAAAGGTATATTAATTATGTATATTGGTTAAAAAAAGACTAAACATTTAAGCTATGACTCACCATCAAATGTTGAACCAACTAATGTAGCATGAACATTTTGTTGTGGAACAGTGTGTGTCACACTAGCTTAATCAATCATTATAAGGTGAAAATTCATTTTGAATCCATGTATGTATGTGTGTATGGCTGTGACTTACTCAACGGAGAGGTGCACTACACTCATCACAGTATAGTTATACCACAAATTGATACAGATTACAGGTCATGTGATTCATTAGAGTTCGATTCAGTCTAATGGGTGGGTGGATGGGGGGAGGCTGACTTTGATCTCCTCCAACAGTTGTGAGCGTATACTACTAACCAGATACATCTATCTAAATAGCAGTCTGTTTAGTATTTAGTTTTTTTTAATGATGGTGTGACGTGTGCTACTGATAAGATTTATCAGTAGTATATAAATAGGCATCAGCATAAAATATCAAATAGCAGAGATAGATAGATAGAGTGATTTGACTTTAAAAAAAGTAAATGAACCAGTGTTGCTTGAAATCATGACAGGTACAAAAAGAAGACAAAGAAATAAAATATGAAGGATAGAAATAGCAGAACATAGAAGATCTTTGCAAATAACGATTTTCATATAAGGTATATACATAATTTCCCTATATGCATATGGAGATATCAAATTGCAAATGAACATTCCCTTATCATCAAGTATCTTGTTTTTTACCATTACAATGGTATTTGACTTGTCATAAATGTACTAAAACTATAGTTTCAAAGTGCCTTACTATGTGACCTTTCAATAGAGTTGGGAGATGGCTTACTGTTTGGAGTATTCAAGCTTATATTTAAAGGGTTTTGAACGCGAATCTGACTGCGTTTCTTACTGTCTAGACAAGTGGATAGTAGGATAGGGAGGTGAAATCATTATCAATGTGAGACATTTGAAAGAGGTTACTTCCTTCACTTATCGGGCCGGGAAACATCGTTTCAGCTACAGGTAGTCGGCACGGACGAAGTTGTCAAAGCCAGCCAGAATCGGAAAGTCAAGGTACACCTTCATCACTCTGAAGTCGGTTTGGAAATCTTCTGTACTCAGTTTGAAGAATAAAATCTGGATTTTCAGCACCAATGTTAAGCCAATGTTAGTCGTGTATGAGTCAGAACCTTGACATGTGCGTTACAAAAAGCATTTCTAGTAAACAGCGACTGGCTTTTATCGCCACCTGACAACTTCACTGGCTCCACACTGAAGATCAAATAGGCAGCCAGAAAGAAATAGTAACAAGAAACTCTGGCTAGGAACGAATCTACCAAGAACCTGTTGCCCAACAAATTTGCCGAGTAAAAGAGAGATAGAGTGAACATACTTTCAGGAGAACCTTGAATGATACCACACGCCAGGCTCTTGAGTGGGACTCGAATGGGAAACGATAGAGTTGGATGTCCGAATGTGACATGGATGGGATTTTGTGATGAGGAGATGAAAGATTATGGGAAGTTATAGAGTCAGCTAAAAAGAACGGAGAGAACAGGGTGACACTAGAGATGTGCTACTGGGGTCCTTATACTCCACTCGGGACCCAAGGAAATAATGAGGTCAGGCACAGAACAGAGTGTTAAGGAAGTGTTAGAAAGGCTAGTCGATGAGGTTGTGAAGCTGCATGATGTAGATGGCTGGAACGTGTGTCATCCATGACAAGTCATCTCCCTCCTCCTCATTAAGGATTATAAGCTCATATAAGATTGGCTTGGAAAAGAGTTAGGGGTGGTTAAACTAGAAAATGGCATCAGCCTATGAATTCTGTGATTGTCGTTATGAAAGACGTAGGGAGTTGTAAACTATCTGGCCGTCTTCTTCGAGCCCGTTTATTTTTAGTTACTTCTTCGTACTTTTATTTCTCTACCATTATTGTCCCCTTTGATACAGTTTAGGTAACATTTGTGGCATAGTTTTCAACGTTGAAGATTCTGTTCTGTTCAATTTATGTTCTTGAATACCACCGCCGACCGATAACTGCTACCTTGCCGTGGTGGTCGGGCTTGAATGCCGCAGTGACCCAACAAGCTAAACTGGCTGGGACTCATGTCCCTGCAGGTCCTACCATGTCAGGAAGGTTGTTTGGATAGCGGTTAGACTAAAAGCAGTTACCATGGGGTACATGGGCTCCAGAATTCAATCGGATCAAATGGCGTATGAACCCATATGGGTCACCGGCAACCATGGGAACGCAGCTCCTGACGCTGCTCCGCTGCCTTGCGGATTAGACTCCAAGTCAAAGGCTCGGGAGGTGGTCCCTTAGGAAAACCACCTGCTTCGGTCTGGGCGCCCGGGTAGTATCTCAGTCCTCACACAATATTGTGTGGCGCATCTTTCTTGGTGCCATATTGTACCAAGTTTTTCTGCGTTTAAATAAATAATAATAATAACTTGAATACCACCAATTTCTTTACAGATAGTATATACTTTTATTCTTTTCTTTTTTTGAATTAGATCCAGTTGATTATTTTTGTGATCCAGATTCAATTCGTCGTATGGTGAGTTCTAGGCATACACGACAAAATCCTCAGAATAATATTTCTCCGAATGAAACTGATCTAATCCTTCACTCCCAGTTGGACGACTTGAGCTTAGATGATGGTGTTCTCACTACACCAACGTGTAATGACTTTTCACATCTTCGTAATACACCGCTGTCTTTAGCTGTCAGTGAACAAGCCGGTGTTGGTGGCGGTGTTGTCACCGGATCAACATCGATCGCTTCAAATAGTGGTGGTACAATTATCCGACCCGACGTGAATCCTCCACGTAGTGAAGTTTCGACAACACATCATACTGCAACTGTTGGCCAGAGGTTATCTACTAGTGTAGCAGCACCTTCATCGTCTGGTACACTTCAAGGTGCTGGTACTATACCGTATTTAATTGAAGAATTATCAAATTTAAGAGGTTAGTTTAAAAAGCCGTATGTTTCATTATGTTTACCTATACTGAATAATAATAATAATAACTTTAATATATGTGTAAAACTTGGGCACTGTGGATATATCACACAGTTTGAAACACTATTATTTACTAGATGACAGTGTTTCGAACACAATTTTTGTTCATAATCATATTGTCAATTCCAGCTACACAACTGTAACAACAGAAGACAAGGGCCAGGCAACAGATCAGTTTTATTACGAAAACCAACCAGTATTTATATGTATTTTACGTACATTAATAAGGCTCTGCCCGCAGAAAGAAGGCGGTCTTCTGATTGGTTGTTTGCAAACAAACGCAGTCTTCTGCTTTCTCGTTTTCGATATTTCTCGGAAATGCGAGCCACTTGTCTGCGAATCATATTTGTCCACGTCTAGGTCAGCTGTGATCGGTTGTTGAATCAGCCCAGATTAATTTCCACCAATCAGCGTAGATCAATGTCTACCAATTGGCTAGCAGCTTGCTCTCACCACACAACTATGAAACGTGAGTTTCATAGTTCTCTATCTTCCCTCCTATTTGTCGTGGGATCGTTAGACTTTTTGAGATGTTCAGGATAGATATTGAATCATTCCTATTACACGTATTTCCAGTTGATTCGATAAAGAAAGCTCCTTTAGTTATCAATCTGTCCCTCCACCCTGTTACATTAGATTTTAGAACTGTCATCTTGTCCCATCATCCTACTGCATGGTTGTGTGTAATTGCATTTATTGAGTGGTATAGCTGAACTATTCTCTAGATTTCTTATCTTATTCGGGTCAACCAATCTAGATTTTGCTAGGTTTTTATGCTCGGCTAGTCTGACTCACTGACCCTGTTCTATTACTTTGACCTATGTATTTGACCTGATAATCATTGCAGGGTATTAGATAAACTACTGCACTCGAACTCATGCAGCGAGGTAAGAGCTTGTGGCGAGTTGTCATCCGAAGTGGTGACAACTAGTGGTGCCCGTCAAGGATCCCCACTATCCCCATTTCTACTAATGGACTTAACCCTAACTGACTTCAGCGACTCAGGGATTGACTTATTACCAAGGAATAATCTCGTTGACGTAGAATATGCAGATGATATAGTCCTCCCACCTGGAAGAAGACACCGATGAAGTAGAGTATAGTCTTCTGAACACCTTGAGCTGCAAATCGGCGAATGTTTGGCATGTGATTCGCTCCCGCCAAATGTAAGATGATGCTACAGGACTGGACTGGACTACATTGACTTCTAGCTTAGAAATAGGCAGTGAAGTGGTTGGTGGAGCGTGTTGACCACTTCACTTATTTGGGAATTCGCATCAACCAGCGCCAACGAGTCGGTCGTTGACGAATTCTCAGCACGGATACATAAGGCTCATTTAGCATTTGCCTGCCAACTTACGCCATCTCTGGCTTAGTAGACGTGATATCCGGCTGGCTGACGGGCTGCCTGGTTATCAATTAAAGGACGTGTGTACTGTACATCAGCAGTTCACTCCGTCCTCCTTTATGGCTGTGAGGGTAACATGACCATTGAATGTGGAAGACATGAAAACCGTGGCTTGTTGTCTTTGATCACAAGTGTCTGCGTCCTGTCTCTTTGATAGGATAGGTGTTATAATATGGCGAGTAATATTGAGGTTAGACGTCGAGTGTTAGGTAGGGAGCGAAAGTCACTTGGGGAGGCTGTGAAGGTGAATCGATGGAGATGACTAGGAATTGGACATGTGTTACACACGCCTAACTGTCGCCTACCTCGACAATGGGCAATGTTAACTGGAAAACAGTTTTAGCTAGTGGTAGTCAAACCAAAACATGGCTTCATCAGTCAATCAAATCAATAACAGTTAGTTGAAGCCATTCACGTAAGGAGGTGTAGACCGCTGTCTGATTGTGGTCCTCAGGATAGTAGGAACCAATGGCTAGTGGTGGTATGGCTAAAAATCCTCGTTCTCAATGGCTTACTCAGATGCATTCACTCTTTCTGATTTGTCATGTCGTCTGATAAAACTGTAATGTTCTTCCATATTAAGATTCTTTTTCCCTCACCCATACTTGTGTTTATTATCTCTCTCTCTCTCTCTCTCTTGAATGTTTCCTTACTGTGTCCTCTTGCTTTGTATGGTGTTGTGTGTGTGTGTGTGGCAACTCGACATCTCATTCAACTATTTCTATCTTCATTGTACCACTGTAAACGGTGAATGTGTAGAGAATAGTGATCAAAACGAATAACTTATCAAATAACCTAGAATAACCCAATCAGATTATTCCTCCATTAAGATGAATATTGCTCACGGACAAGGTGTTAATTTGCTCCCTGGTCTTTTCTTTCACATTGAGGGTTGGTATAAACACGCGAAATGTCTGTTTTCGACATAGAACTTTGCACATATGTGCGGCAGTTCAAGTCGCCACACTCCCTCCTTGTAGCACACAAAGGAAGAGAAGAAAGTAGGAGAAATGCATATAAGAGACAGTAAACAGAGGTGTGAGACAAAGGAATAGTAATAACGAAGAACAAAACAGTTTGATTGGAAATCATGAGTCACAAGGAGTGGATGCATCTGCGCCAGCCATCAGGGAGATTTTGAGCCATGTCACCAATTGTCTCCAGCCTTCATTGCTTTTTACCGTCCCGAGGACCCCAATCAGGAAGTCTACATCTTCCTATGTGGCTTAGACTAACTGTTGTAGATTTGATTGACTGGTGCTATGTTTTCGTTTGACCGCCGCTAGCTCTTTTCCAGCCTGACCCTATATCAGCTAACATTGCCCATTGTCGAGGAAGGCGATGACTAGGCATACGTAGCACATGTCGTAACCATCTCAGTCAATGTAATTCCACAGTCTCGTCGACTGATTTCCCCTCCTTACCTAGCACTCGACGCCTAACCTCAATATTGCTCACCTTATTATGCCACTTCACGCGGGAGATAGAACACAAGTACCTATGATCAAAGAAAACTAGCCAGGCTTTTCATGTCTTCCACTCTCAATGGCCAGGTCTCACAGCCATAAAGGAGGACGGAGCGGACTGATGAGCAGTACACACGCCCTTCGGTCGATAGTCGGATATCACGTCTACGCCAGAGACGGCGTAAACCGGCATATGCGAAACTAGCCCTCTGTATCCGCGCTGAGATTTCGTCAGAGATCAACCCGTTGGGGCTGATGGTACTTCCCAAGTAAGTGAAGCGGTCAACGTGCTCTACCACTTCACACGCGAAATGGCTCCTGAACAGATATAATATAGTTAGTGTCTGTCTTTTCTACAATGCGGCTTATTTTCTTTATTACTTGGTCACGAGTCATTCGATAGATCGTTCGTTTTGGTCTCTTTTTACTGTTTACAGTTGCCCCCCCGGTCCCCTGTAAACTACAGTGAATTTCGCTGAAATATAAATCACTTTTTTTTCCATTTCTCACACTCATATTTTTTCCCTTCTCTTTTGCAGTTAGTTATCCAGCTACTGATACAAGTGACAGGTCAAGTTTAGCCTCAGAACTTGTTCATACACCACAAATACAACATTATCAACCAGAAGCATTAAATGCTGGCGGTTCAGTAAATGTAGAAAGAAATCCTAATGGAACTCAACAACAACCGTCAACTTCAAATGGATTCGCTGCAGCGACAACTGTACACGATTTAATGAATTTAACTGATATCACTTCAGAAGATATTCATGATTTCTTTGGACTAGTAAGTCTGTTTGTTTGTTTGTTTGTGTGTATGTTGTTACTGTTCTTATTGATGGATAGGATCGATATTCAGTTACCCCCACACACACACCCACCATCTAGTCTACTAGCCCCAGTCCTAAGCCCGGAACAAAGGGAAGGTGGTTGGGCGTGGAGCTAGCAACTCCCTCCCCCATCACTGCGGAAACTTCCGAACACAGGGGAAAGAAATAAACTTATCCTTTTGTGGAATTGAGAAGACTTCTTTATTGGAGGATGTACTACTCACCGGCTGTTGACAGCCTTCTGATATGAAATGTTCTCACAATGGTTAGACCGCTGAGATCGCAGTAGAAAAAGATATAGTGAAAAGAAGGGTTAGGAATCTGTAAAAGCATATGGAGTGGAAGTGAACTTTTCAAAGTTATAGTGGAGAAGATTTGTAGCTTAGGTTGCTGTGTTGTGTTCTCTGAGCTGAATGGTTTATTTGCGAAGCTTCCATTTCCCTACTAGGCAACGTCTTCAGCGCGTATTTCTATTTGTTGAAGTGAGCTTTTAGATTTCTCCAAGAGTTTATTGGGCATTTCTCCTAGTGACCCTGAACGCGATTGGTTGTTTTTGTGTGTTTTCACACCTTCTAGGTTACTTGTATTGGTGCTGATTGTTTTCTTGACCTGAAGTTTAAACCTTTGTGTATGTGATTTCTTTCCTATCGATTGGTAAATTTCGTCTATGTCGATGTGTCCATTGATTGACGATTCACTGGAATACCAGGCTTCTAAAACCATTCTCTGTCATTCTTGGTGTTCCCTCTGTCTAATATTCGAACGTTGTCCCAGTCGAATTGATGTCCGTGGTTGTCTGTATGTAGTGATATGATGGAGTGGATGTCATGTCTTTTGACGCCTAGCTTCTGTTCATGGATACGAAGAGGAAGGGGACATCCATTTTGGCCAATGTAGTGTTTTTCGTGGTTGTTACAATTTATTTTGTAGATGACGTTGGTTTTATCTTCTTTTGTTGTTGAGTCTTTTGGTTGACACAGAGGCAGCTGAGTGAAGTGATTTTTGTTGGTTTGTGTGCGACGTCAATTCCTAAAGGTTTGAAGAGTGATTTCTGAGATGTCTTTTATATGTGGAAGGGCTATTCTCTTTGTGCTTTCCTTGGGGCATTTGATTTGGTAGGTTAGCTTGGGGGTATATGTCTTTTGATGAAGTTCCGTGGATATCCATTCTTTTGAAAAATATCCATGAGGTAGCTTTCTTCAATTTTCTTCAAGGTAGGAGTGGTGCAATGACTCCTGGCTGTCTTGAATAGTGTCTGTATACAACTCAGCTCAGAGAACACAACTACATCAAAAACTCTTCAAGGTGTTAACTAGGTGGATAGCTAGTTATCTACTACACAATCATTCAGACGACAACCACGAACACGCTGAAGGGGAAGGTATGCTCGTGATATTATCATGATATATCACTAAACTGTCTCAAAGGCTCTTATGCATTCAATGGGAACCAATCTTCTCCAGGATCATGACAATCAAAAGGGGTTAACTGAAAACGAAGGAAGAAAGGTTACAACTGTACAATAAAAGTCCCTATATTCCACTCTGAATGCAAGTAACAGCAACATCAAAGGTTGGATATCATAGAGTGTACAGTTCACTTCTTTTCGCTCAAGAACACAGCTACCTACAAGACGTTGTTGCCATGGTATTCAAAACATATTTGGTAGTGAATGGGCTATAATTTTGGACACATTAATTAATTAATTAATTTTTTTTTAGACTAATTAAATACATGAAAACAAATGTGTCTAAATTTTAGTTCACTTATACACTTACATGTTTTTGAATTACCTAGCAACATGTTTTGGTTGTATCTCATGCATTTATTCCCCTTGATGAATTTAAATAAAGCAAGAACAACAGTGGTTTGTGCAGAATAATATGGTACCATCATTTATTTCGTCGGCTTCTCATCAGCTGCTTACAGCCTAATTAAATAAATTGTGAGGTTTACGTACAGAAAAGTTTTAACATGTAAAGTTTGCAAGTATGTATTTTTTTCAGCTTTAAATACTATCGGATATCAATTAACATCTAATAGGTAGTTTATCGTTCCAACCAGAAACAGTAAGCACCAATCACTGTCGACGAGAGAAATTTGAAAGAGGTTACTTCCTTCACTTATCCGGCTGGAAAGCATCGTTTCAATTACAGGCAGTCGGTACGGATGAAGATGTCAAAGCCAGTCAGAATCGGGGAGTCAAAGTATACCTTCATCACTTTGAAATCAATTTGGAAATCTTCTGCTTTCAGTCAGCCAGCATAAAGAACAAGATTCGGATTTTCAACACAAATGTGAAGTCAGTCAGTCAGTTCTTCTATATGGGTCAGAAACTTGACCAGGCTAACAGGTTACTGAGGATTTTTATCAACAGCTGTTCCCTTCGCTTGTTGCTTACTGAAGATCAGATGGTCTGTTGGAAAGGGAGTAGCAAGGGGGAACTCTGGAAATGAAACATTAAAGAACCTACTGAAGAAAATGGCGATGGATGAGACACACGCTGAGAGGGAGTGTTGAGTGCTATCGCGCGCCAGACATGCCTTCGGATGGAACTTGAATGCAAAACTATGATTTGGGTGTCTAAAAGTGACATGGAGAAGATCGCACGAGGAGGAATAATGATAATAATAATTTGCTACATTCCAAAACAGTACTTGTGATACAGAATGGAATTCTCAGCATTTCACTACAATATTGCATCCAGTTAGTACATTATCAATCAATAGAATTCTACATAGATTAAGGAAATCTCAGTTCATTATGACAACAACATATTGGGATGTCGGTAGCAAAGACAAAGTTGAACAGTGAAGGTGTTAGAAAAGTAGGTGCTGTCATATTTACTGGCGTAAGCGGAAGAAAGAAACAAAGCAGCACAAAACAGAAAAAAGAGAGAGAAAAGGAAAAGAAATAAATAAAATGTTGTACCTATAAATGATATGAGTTGGAAAGACACGGTCCAGTTGTTCTACTGACTATTTAACAAGTTATAGGTATCACGCCTAATGCTTTCTTTATCGCACAGAACACGAGCTAAGTAGGGTATGGTTGAGTTTTTGTACTTGCTGGTGCGAGCATATAGTTTTCTATATAGGCTTCTGGTTTTGCCTGATGAGATACAAGGCGAGAGTTGTGAATGAAGAGGGTGATGTGAGTTAGATAAAATGGATTTAGCCCTTTTTTCACATGAGTCGATGTGTCTGTCGACCAGAATATTAACAAGCTGGTTAAGTGGCACGTTGCTTACCCTGCTGACAACCTTTAACATCCTGCGTAATATGTTATAGTCTTTCTTCAGTAGCCCGGGAAAAACTAATGGGGAACAATAGAGAATAACAGGCAGAATGCGAGAGTTAACGAATTGTAGGAGTAAGGGTTGGGTTATACCAGAATGTCTTAACTTATTGATGTAGAAGGTAAGACTGAATATTTTCTTGGAAATAGTCAAGATATGAGACGACCAGGAAAGATCAGCAGATAGAATGATGCCTAGGTATTTAATTTCCGACTTGGTTTCTATTTCAGGGATGAGAGTGTCTATGGCTCCATCGTAAGGCCAGCGCTAAAGAGGTCTGCGAAGAACTATATTCCACTAGGAACTCAAGGGAATAATAATAATAATTATATTATTAGAAGTCATTAAGTTCACTTCGTAAGGAATAAACTTTATTTTTCTTCATGTTCCTAAATTGTTTCATTGACTTCAAGGGATACTGTTAGAGTCACAACTTATCCTTCTTAATTGCAAATTTATTTTTGTTTTCATTCCTTCAAATAAAACTACTCATCATCTAGCCTCATGATTCTTCTATTTGTTTGTTGTTGTTGTTTTGTTTTTTGTTAAATGCAGCCAAGTTCACATCAACTACCATCTCGTCTGTTTGCTGTCACTCCACTAAGCTGGTGTCCACATTTAGCCTCAGTACAAAATAATCCTACTTGGGAACCGGATATTCACACGTTATGCAGACGTTGTGATAATCATAGCGAGAATTGGGTCTGTTTATCTTGTTATGCGGTAAGTCTTTTTTGTTTTTCATTTTCGACAACTATTGAAGATCAGGGTGGGGGGATATTGGACAGTTGCTTCATCCTTGTTTGAGAGCCTTCAACAAGTTTTGGGTTCGATTCCTGATGGAGTTACAGGTGTCTACTGTTGGAGAATCTGTAGACAAGGATGAAACAAGCTGTCCCTGGTTTTCAAAGGTGGTTGTTTAACTGGGTTCGAATCCCGGTGGGTGCATACTGATGAAGAGTCCCAAATTAGGACGAAACAGTTGTCCAGTACTCCCAGGTTTTCCAATGGTTCTCTAATCAATGTCAGCTGATGATGAAAATCCTGTAACCAATCAAATCCCTACAAACCAACACTTGAATAACTGTATTTAGTTCGTGATCAGTTTTTGTGATTATTTATTTTAAAAAAGTATGAAATGATTGCCGAGTAGTATAAATAACCATCTAACTTTGTGAGTACTGGTCAAACTGTATTCATCATACATGGAATGTACTCATCAAACAGATCGACATGACATTGAATAGACTATATAGTCTTTAGGATGTAGTGAATCGTGATCCAATTGGCTCACTAGTAACATCTCTATCTTCAGAGCTTGATAATATTTGAGGTAGTTGTTTAACGAGTGTCAGTATGAGCATGATATGATACCCTAGCTCTCCAGAGCTTCCCGGCCAATTGCTTCCAACCTTCAAAAAGATCAAATTAAGTCTAATTATATTTCAATGGCTTACACACAATGATAACTGTTTTGTTATTGGTAATATTTCGAGCAAAATTACTGCCCGTGTTCACACCACTGTTGGAATTGTTTGTTTTGTTTTTTGTTTTTTGCATTTCACACATTTATGATTTGTACTCATATATACATAGTTCATTCATTCTTGTATATTCAGAATCATATTTCAGGTTGTCGACAGTTGTGCTGCTGAGTCACCCTTGTTCCATGTATCCCGTGTGACCTTAATGAATATAGATTCTGTCATTAGTCTCTCTTTCCACTGCTAGTCACCATCCACCAATTAAATTCTGATTGCATGTCCAGACATCATCGAAGCATCTGCACAAGAAGCCGACATGTCAACCTGAAACCGAGCACTTCGGTCCAATCAACTGACGGGAAAATCTAAAATTGAATTAAATAATTAATATGACCTGTTGCACAAGAGGTGGCTGGCTCTTGTGGCCCAAGTAGTCCAGTAGATAACGCTTTGGCGTTTGAAACTATTGGCACTGGGTTCGAGCCTCGGTAGAAACATCATCACTCACTGGTGAATACAGGTACATCCAGCTAACTGGCGAGTCCCAAATAGGACGAAATTCGCCTTGTCCTGGATTCTACTGCTAGTCACCATCCACCAATTAAAATTTCTTTCCATTTGTTCATATTAGTTTTCAGCATATTGTGGTTTTTGTCCTATGCATGTGCAGCTATAGATGATTTTTTTTCTAAATTCTTGTAAGCTTGTGTTCCTGTTGGTTGACCTTTAGTTAGGCATTTATGTTCATTCACTCTTATTTTGAGTGATCTGGACGTTTGACCCACATATTTGATCGAACACTCGGCACAAGATATTTTGTAAATCACATTGTTTTTATCCATCATTTTATGTAACAAGGGTGACTCAGCAACACAACTGTCAACAACCTGGAATATAATTCTGAATACACAAAAATGAATGAACTATGTATATATGAGTACAAATCATAAATGTGTGAATAAAACAATTCCAACAGTGGTGTGAACACGGGCAGTAATTTTGCTCGAAATATTCCCAATAACAAAACAGTTATCATTGTGTGTAAACTATTGAAATATAGATAGACTTCATACATTGCACTGATTAATGCACTCTACTCGTACTCATGCAGCCAGGTGAGGGCTTATGGCGAGTTATCATCTGAAGTGGTGACGACTAGTGGCGTCCGTCAAGGATGTCCATTATCCCCATTCCTATTCAACTTCATCATAGACGTACTAATGGACTTAACCCTGACTCACTTCAGCGACTCAGGGATTGACTTGCTACCAGGGAATAATCTCGTCGACTTAGAATATGCAGACGATATAGTCCTTCTAGGCGAGGACGCTGACAAAATGCAGAGTCTACTGAACACCTTCAGCAACAATCTTCGTATGTTTGGCATGCGATTCGCCCCTGTAAACTGTAAGATGATGCCGCATGATTGGACTACACCGACCCCTAGATTAGAAATAGGAAGTGAAGTGGTAGAGCACGTTGACCGCTTCACTTACCTGGGAAGTACCATCAGCCCCAACGGGTTGATCTCAGACGAAATCTCAGCACGAATACAGAGGGCTAGTTTCGCATATGCCAGTTTACGCCGTCTCTGGCGTAGACGTGATATCTGACTATCGACCAAAGGGCGTGTTTACTGCTCAGCAGTCCGCTCCGTCCTCCTTTATGGCTGTGAGACCTGGCCATTGAGAGTGGAAAACATGAAAAGCCTGGCTAGTTGTCTTTGATCATAGGTGCCTGCGTTCTATCTCCCATGTGAAGTGGTATAATAAGGTGAGCAATATTGAGGTTAGGCGTCGAGTGCTAGGTAAGGCGGGGAAATCAGTCGACGAGACTGTGAAATTACATTGACTGAGATGGTTAAGACATGTGTTACGTATGCCTAGTCATCGCCTTCCTTGACGGGCAATGTTAGCTGACATAGGGTCAGGCTGGAAAAGAGCTAGTGGTGGTCAAACCAAAATATGGCTTCATCAGTCAATGAAATCCACAACAGTTAGTTTAAGCTAGCCACGTAGGAAGGTGTAGACTTCATGGCTGGTTGGGGTCCTCGGGACGGTAAAAACCAATGACTGTTGGAAACAATTGGTGATATGGCTCAAAATCGTTCTCAATGGCTGGCACAGATGCATCCACTCCTTGTGACTTATGATTTCCAATGAAACTGTTTTGTTCTTCGTTATTACTATTCCTTTGTCTCACACCTCTGTTTACTGTCTATATTTTTATGCATTTCTCCTACTTTCTTTTCTTGCTTTGTGTGCTACAAAGAGGGAGTGTGGCGACTTGAACTGGCGCACCTATGTGCAAAGTTCTATGTCAAAAACCGACCGACCGACCGAGACTTCATTTGATCTATTCCACAATGCTCAAACTTTTTACTGACATTAATTTTAAAAGATCACTTACCTCTACAATACATTGTAGGGTAATTGTGTTCTGATCCTTGATCATAAGCCGGTGGTAATTCATATTTCATGTCAAAATTGATCTGTAGTATGATTCAGTTCTCAAATCGGATTGTTGCAACAGACCGTCTGTAGAACTTGATACTATGTAAGTGAATTTGTAGCCTCTAAGTAACCGGCATAATTGTTTAATTTTAAGTGCTAAAGACTTACAACAACACCAACAATGGGTATATAAGATATCCTGAACATTTGGAAGTTTAACTAGCGTAATACACGCCATGTCAATGATTTACATCAGTTACACACAACCAAAATGCGGTTGAAAAGTAACTTCTATTATGATTATGTATTTTCTCAAATCCCTGAAACTAATATCTGAGATTTCCCAATCATCATTGAGAATTCAGTTTACTTCATTTTTGACCATGAATTGATGTCAGTTAGAGAACTAGTGAAAACCACCGGGGGGGGTACTGGACTGGACAGCTGTTTCGCCCTATTTTGGGACTCTTCAGCAATACACACCCACTCGGGGTTTTTTTATTACAGCTTGACGCCACACCGTATTTTCAGTAAAAGTATGGAATTTTCAGCATGGATATCGGTAGCCCAAATTCTGCAGGCCGACCATAGATATCGGGTGTGCGTCGGCAGGGGATCGAACCCCGGACAATGTGCATGGTCGACGAGAATCCTAACCACTATGCCATCGGCGTGAGAAGACAAGTACTCACCGATAACATTAGCTGGTTTGTGGTCGCCCTAATATCACGAATTAGTATAGAAGTTGGATTTTATTGACCATTGGATTAGATCTCAATGACTGGGCATGTCCTAGTTTTCAACGCTGGTGGGTATGTATTGTTGAAGAGTCCCGACTAGGACGAAACGGATTTCTAGTAATACTCCTCAGTGTCCAGTTGTCTTCTAACTGAAGTCTGTACATGATACGGTGTTAAATCAGTCGAATCTGTGTTGATGCATGAGTATCCTCATCACCTGCCTCTTCTCTATGCTCACTTTAAGTCCTGTCATCGCCGTCTGGCTCTTCTGCCAGTTTTTTTTGGTTTTCGCCTGCAAGTCTTCGAGTATGTGCGACAATAAACATAAATCATCCACTCGCGAAATCCTGATCTTCTAGAGTCTTCCTATCAGTCTAACGTATTCCCTTCTGTTCTCTCATTCACTACAATTAAGAATATGATCGGTAATAATGGGCAGTAGCCTTGTCTAATTGCTGTCTTCACTTTAAAGACTTCAGTGAGTTTCCCGTTTTTTTCGACCACCTAACACGGGGGCATTGTCAGCTGTTGAATAGGGTTGATAAAGATTTGGTGCATTGCAATCTACAGTGTTGAAGTGTTCACAATCAACTTGGTCCGTTGAAGGTCTTTTCAAAGTGGAAGTATTATATTATTTGTTGGCCAATTGATTATTTTGATTGTAGGTGGTCGGAGGTAATCGAAAGGAAGTCCTGGACTTAACTAGACTGTATTCTTGTTGACACTTATCAGCGAGGCATATCTGCCAACTTGAAGGAGTTGTCGTCCCCACCTCCGTAATAGAGATTCAAAGCTGCGTCATTCAATTCTGAAGTCAGAGACGTCACCAATAAAGCTATTCGAGTTTACGACTGATCTGTATGTGTTGTTGTTGTTCCCTTGGGTTCCTAGTGGAACATACGGCTTCAACTGCACGCCTCCACTTGCTTCTGTCTTCTGCTGTACTTTTCACCTGCATCCATGTCAGTCCATATTGTTTCAGCTCCTCTTCACACGATCTCCTCCATGTCACCCTTGCACTGACGTCCCACTCGCCGCTTCCCTTT